AGTTCGATATATAAATCCTAGCATCTTGAAGGACGCTAGGGAAATATTGTTAACATGTTGCCAAAAAGAAAGTTGCGAATCAAATGTTATACCTAGATCTTTAGCATTTTGACGTTTTTTTAGATGTTGACCATTTATAGTATACGTAGAATGCACAGGATTTACTTTCCTTGTGAATGTCATGTAGAAGCATTTCTCAGTATTTAATACCAGTTTAACACTACTGCAGTAATTTACTAATTTATCAAAGTTAGTTTGAAAGATTTTAACATCATTGATATTATTAATTGAAGAGTATAACTTTATGTCGTCTGCATATGCCAGTACTTTACAATTAGGAAGCTCTAATAGATCATTGATAAATATAACAAAAAGCAAGGGACCCAAATTAGACCCTTGGGGGACTCCGGAAGTGGAAATAAAATTCTTGGACTTAAAACCGTTATACGAAGTTAGGACGATTATTTAAATACGATTGCAATAACTTGAGAGAACTGGCCGCAAATCCAAAACAGCTTAGCTTATTTAATAAAGTATAATGATCTATTGAGTCAAAAGCGCTAGAAAAATCAGTATAAATAACATCGACTTGATTATTATTTCTGTCTAATTCTTGCGAGATAAACTGTGTAATTACTGCTAAATTGGTAATTGTTGACCGACCTGGTAGAAATCCATGTTGGTGAATGGAGAGATGACTTTTAATATTATAATAGATATTTCGATAAATGAGAATTTCGAATATTTTGGCGAAGTTAGAAAGGATTGAAATAGGTCTATAGTTTTTTATTAAATGGCAATCACCTTTTTTAAAGATAGGAACAATTCTCGCTACCTTCCATTTATCTGGAAATGTTGCTGACTTAATGGCTAGGTTAATGATAATAGCAATAGGTTTAGCAAGGACAAATCGGGTATCATGAATCAAGAAACTAGGAACGAGATCATCTCCGGCTGTCAATTTATTAGATAAGGTTGACATTACAGATATAACTTCATCTTCGGAAACATTTTGGATAATAAAAGAAAGATTATTAGTGTAAGCATCTGTTACAGTAGCATTTAGTTTTGGTCTAAATGAACTTGAAAATTGTTCTGCAAACATATCAACACAGTGCTGAGGATTATCACTTTCCCTGGCATTATGACACAGTTTACTAGGAATACGAGTAGTATCTTTCTTAGATTGAACATATTTCCATAGATTTTTTGGAGAATCATATAGAGAATTTTCAATTTTATTTAAATGACTATGGTGTGCAACATTTATTACTTCCCGAGCGTAAGCAAAGGAAGTATTGTAATCAAGTCCGTCGGCCGACTCTCTACTTTTACGTTTTCTCGATCTTTCATGACCCCTAGAAGACGAAGAAATAGGTCTCCCATTTCCGTCTGTCTGTCCGTCTGTCCGTCCGTCCGTCTGTCCGTCCGTCTGTCCGTCTGCCCCCGGATTTTTATTAGACAGATAATCTCCGAAAGTACTCGACCGATTGTTGTGAAATTTTGTACTTATATTAAGAATATCATGTAGATGGTAAAACGCTAACCAAAATTTGTCTAATCATCCCCACCACTAATGCGATGACGTCACTTCAAAATTGTACATAGTAAATGGGTTTTCAATTGTATAAAATAACATAGTCCTACACATGTAGTTTACAACTCTCAATCGACTTTTCACCCGAAACGTCCAGATTTTTGGAAAAAAAATCAAAATTATAAAACAACATTTTGAAATTTTATTTTTAATCTGCTAACCAGAATGCTTTGAAATGTTGCAGATGTTTTAAGGCTATAAAGAGCATCATAAATCTTTAGTCAAAAAATATTTGCTTATCCCCTCCAAAAACTTGATGACGTCAGCTCGAAAATTTGCCGAATAAATCATATCTAAAATGTACAAAATATGATCAGTCTGTACTTGTGATCTATCACTCCATTCATATTTTTTGGATTTGCATATACAGGGTGATTCAAGAAAATAAATGAAAGCGTAAATTTACTTTACTCACACACACAATAGGCATGCAGTCGTCAAGTTTCCGACAGCGAGGGAAGTACTGTCTAAACTCTTTAGACCAATTTTTAATCTCTTACATTCACTTCGAAGCCTCTTAAATTCGATATAATAAGAATCATAACAAGTAATTTTCCATTTTTTATGGTAGTATTTTTTTAGTTTTAATTTTGAAATTATCGTTTTATTAAACCAGGAAGGAAAATGCGATTTAGTTGATCTATACTGCGGTACTGAAGAGTGCTATGCTATAAAATTTATCATAGAAAGAATCCAAACAAGAATTTACATCACTGAAGTCCATTAAAAACGACCACTCAACCATCAGCAGATCACTATACAAGTTTGTGTAATTGGCTTTTCTGAAATTGTACCTAGTATTGTCAGCAGTTGGGAACTTATTAGTTTTAGAAGGTAGAAGAAACTCAGTCGTAATTGCCAAAGAAGGATGATGAGCATCCTCTGGGACAAATGGAAATTCCTCTTGAGAAACTGAAATGTTACAGTCAAAATTTGATAGAATTAAGTCCAGCATTCTATTATTAGCATTTAATACAGAGTTATGTTGTCTAAAATTAAGCAAATTACAAAATGTAGAAAACAAGTGTTCTTTACTACGAGGAGAATTATATATTAAATTGTTACTACTGTAGTGCGTTAAATTCAAATCTCCAACAAATAAAGTTGGTTTATTCAGTAATACGGACTCTAGTGCTTCAAAAAGTAACTCCAAATTGGCAGAAGAAGTATCAGGAGGCACATAAATGGCTGCTAAATAAAACTGAAACGAATTGAAGAGGCAATTGCAAACAACCAAATCAATAGAGGGCAATATGTCTGTAATTATTGTAGTATCAATAACATTGTAAGTGATTTTATTAGACAAACAAACAAGAACACCACCTCCCTTAGTACATCCGACAGTTGAAAATTTTCTATCAGATCTAACAACACTATAAAATGAAGGACATATTTCAGAATTAAAAAAAGTATTATTTAACCATGTTTCCGTTGCTACTATGATATCAAAAGAACATTCAGATATATTTTCATAAAATATGTGCAATTTAGAACGTAAGCCTCGTGTATTTTGATAATATATGTTTAAGGAGACTGGTAATCTGTTAGGCGATTTTAGTTTACCGTGGGGCTAACAGGGAGTTTTGATGATATAATAACAGGAATTCCTCTGTCATATCTAATTCTTAGATTTGATTCGCCGTTCGCGATACGTTGATTCAGCTCAATTTTTGTGTTACGATATAGCTCTAATTGCATAGGAGTTCTATCTCTTGTAATAGAAATGTTATTAAATCGAGTCGACTTTTTTAGTTCTTTGGACATGCGTAGTACAGATATTACCGAATTTTCAGATGGCAATATTATTTTTATGGGACGACATCGATCAGTCTTCGTAGCATCAAATTTACCAAGCCTAATAGGTTTTATGTTGTCATTATCAGTAACTGATAAACTCGACAATACATCTTTAACAAAAACAGTATCAACAGCTGATTGCTCATCTTTAGATGTATTATTTTCCTCATTGTTCCCATAAATAATTATGTTGCATTTTCTTTTTTCCCGTTCGGAGATTTCTCGAATAATTTTTTCTGTATCTAACAAAGAATTAGTTGGAGACTGCGATGTGGTGGAAATAGCAGATTTGAGGAGTTTAATTTCATTTTGTAAAGCCACAATAACTTCCTTTAACTCATTTATGTCATTACCGACTTGAGAGCAACACTTGCAAGTCCATGAGAGCCCAGATTTTTGATGTATTTTTCTGGCCTCAGTGTTACTTACGTCAACACACTCGATTTTGAAGGACTTACTGCAGATGCAACAACTAACCATTTTATGTGGCTCGGCATTTTTACCACAACAAGTGCAAGTATTCATATTAATGAATTATATTTAAATTAAATAAGTAAGGAGAGACAAGGACACACCCTTCACGCTGGCGGTGCCTATCGCAGCGACTTGAAAAAATATATATGTCTATACACACACAAGGATAAACAGGCAACGGAAAGGTTTAAGCAGGGAAACACCAGGAATAACTTTAAGTATATGGCACTCACTTGTTGGCAAAAAATTGACCGATAAGTATAAGCGAGTGTGATTTTCTCACACTGATGGGTACTAATACCACGTAAAGTTACCTATTAGCAAAAGAAGTCACAAATCAGTGGGCATATCTTCATAGGTACACACTTACACAGTTTTTTAATTAAATTGAAGAAACTAACTATGAAAACTGAGAAAACAAAGGGAGTACACACAAGCATGCACGCACCACTTGCTTTATATCAAAGTAAGTAATTTAAAAAATTGTCACAACCTTCCAAGAACCCCGTTGAACAACCCGCGTGGAGAATTGTAAACCTTGATCCTTCACTTTTAATTTTGGTGGGATTGCTTTTTAGATCAGTATCGTGCACCCAGCGACGAATGGACGAACCATTTCGATAGATCCGTGTTTCATCCAAATACACGAAAGTCAAATTTTCACAAGAATTTAGAAACTGTAGGTAAATATGTTCCCAAAAAGTAACGACATGTTTTTGTTCACATAGAATTTTGCGACCATTTACTTCCCTGTGTTTATAACCCATTGACTTAAGAATTTTGTATAATGTGGTTTACTTTGTCATAATAAAATGTGATAAGTCATATATCCATTATTTTTAATTATCAATTTTTAAGATTGGCGATAAAAATTTGTATGCACCACGTCAGTAAAATCACTTTAGAAACAGAAATGAAAACTGAACAAAATTAAAAATTAACAATTACAAATAAAATTAGTTTGGGACAGAACTAATCGATATTTTAAACCATCTACAAAACTAGGGGTGTTGAAGTCACCTAATATTATTAATTTGTGGTTCTGAATGATATTTAAGTTCATGAAGAATTCAAAAAACAAGTTGAAGTCATCAAAAGCAATTGTAGGTGGAACATAAATTACAAACATTAAAATTTTAATTTACCCGTAATTTTAACACCAACAATGTCAATGCTTGGAACCAAAATTGTGAGAGAAGATAGATCAAGTTGTAGAAGTTATCAACAATAGAAGAACGCCGCCACCTGTAGTTACATTAAGAGAATTAAAATTTCGATCCTGTCAATAAATAACAAAGTTACCTGGAAATAATTCACTACTGGAGATATCCGGTGTGATCCATGTCTCGGTGACTGTTATAAAGTTATATTCACTTGCAGGTACTGAAAGAAAAATTTTACACATTTACATCTCAAGCCTCTACCATTTTGGTATGAACATTGAGAAAATTTAAAGTAATTGGATGACGAAATTAGTTTCAATCTTGACTCGTTCTTCCTTTATTAGTACCAGTGATTTGAGCAACATTGTTGTTATAAATTAAGATCAGATCAGATCTTCGGAGATTAATTTCTTCAATCACAGCAGAGTTTTTAGCTCTATGAAGCCTATCCAACAATCAGACAGAAACATGAAATTGACAAGCAATGAGAAATATGCCAGGACTAAACCGAATAAATCTTAGCTACAACAAGGTCAAGACTCTACAAAAAAAGTCCTTTGCTCATTTGAGAGCAGACTTTGCATGCCGATTTTCGTTTGTGTTGTCTTATAAGAAGATACATTTTCTTCGGATCACATATGATTAACAATTTCCGCAGAACAAATTTCCCCAACATGCCAATATTTTCGGTTATAAAGATCGTATGGTTTTTGTGAAATGCCTGTTTTTGGCGCAGAGTCATGTTAATCGTTTTGAAATAGAGCGCCGCTGTAGTTGCTCTTGACTGTTTAGCGAAAGCTCTATAACCTACTTTTGCGATATTGTCAACGTGATGGTTATTCTGTTCTTCTTTACGATGTTGTCCAGAAATAAACAAAATGTTTTAATGTGTTTTTTGCATTTAGGTATGATGTATACGTGTTATTTGGAGACTTCAAAGGATGAAGGGTTTATAAATTTTATGGCAAAATTAAAACTCGAACTTTTCAGTTTAGTCATGGACTCACTTCTCTTTCGTGTGCAATTTTTTTTTTCAGTGATGGCACAAAACGGTATTAGTCACTAACCAAAAAAACAAACACCACTTGACACTTTCTTAAAATTTTAACACAATTCGTTTTTTACTGAAAAAATTTCAAATTGACTGAACTTACAATTGATCTTTATAGTTTTTCTAGCAAATGCGTCATGCATCTAACCAGTTCTGCAGGGAATTTGACATTTTTGTTGCAAGTTCGCAGACGGTCACACTTCATTTAGGAGGACAATGCTCTATTTCTATTTCAGTCTTTTTTTTTTCTTTAATTTGTCACTATAAATTCACCAAAATGTTGCAATATAGCTCGTGGTAGGTGTGGCTAAAATAATTTACGTTTAAAAAGTGACGTGCACAATGTTTTTAACAAAATCTGCGTAAATAAATAATGAAAAATAAAAAACAACAAATTACTATAACACTTCAAAATAAATGCCACAGGACACTCACGAGTGCAAAAGCCATACAATAATATACGAATGCAATGAATTTTCGTTTTCGTTGGGCTTGAGGTACAGTATGCATCGGATCTTTTAAGAGATGAATCCTTGAATATATTACACAACTTTCTAAAAAACTCCTCCACGCCAAGTTCTCCATGTTGAACGGAAACAACTCCCGGTCTTTTTCTTTCAAAGATTTCCACAATTTATCGCAATTGGCCGTTTCAAATTTCCAAGAATTCGCACTAAAGTACGCTAATTCGTCACAGATTTTGTGTATTTTTTGGTACATTTTGACGAATCTGAAAATGCTTTGATGTGAAAAAGTTGGCACACACAAATGCTCACCTTCGTTTTTTTCCAAGACACAAGCAAACCAGATCGACGATGTAGGCTGGTACGAGATGAAGCCAGAATCGGAGGAATTTAAGATAGTACTTGTTTGTGGTAAAAATCACAAAGCAGACATTAACGACATGCGCGCTGGTGTAGAGTTTTGCTGTTAATTCTCCATGCTCGTAGAACTTAGCTATGGAACATCACAAATTTTGTGAAGATGACTAAATAAATGACGCTTACCTTTCGTTAACTGATTTTTCTCAGAACCTGTATAGTTGTAGATCGGTAGAGGGGAACTTTTCTCTGTTGCGTAGCACGCAGCCGCCAAAGTAAGATTAGCTGTGTAATCAGATGGTATCAGGTTTATAGGTTTAGTGTCGCCTAGGAGGCAATGTATCAAACCTAGAAACGCGCCTATGAGAAAGCCAGTGATACCTTGAATTGCATCCAGCCAACCTGGTTCAGGTTCTTGGAAGGCGCCCATCACTGAAAACAATTCTCCTGTAACTTGAAAAAGTAAAGTGTTTTTTTTTAACTTACGAATCGCCGGTCTGACAATACAAACTGGCAAATCTTGAGCTTCGGTTTTGATAACATTTTCGGCCACAGCTTTGGTGAATGTGTAGGTGTTGGGCCAAGAACCTAGAAGTCTGGAAAAATCGAAAATTTTGAAAAAAAATCGCAGTTAATAAACAAAGCTTCGGATTTTTATGGGAATTGTACTTACTCTGGAGTGGTGTTTGTTATTGTTTCGTCATCCGTTGACTCCAGCATTTTCAAGAGCTTTGTGGCTGTCATTCCAGGCTCATAGAATTGTTCCTTTATTAAATCTTTTTGGTTACAGTTTGAGTACGCTGTGGAAACGTGCACCATAGCCTAATGTAACGAAAAAATTAGTTAAATCAAATTACTTTGTGCAATTATCATAAAATTGTTGACTTTATTTTTAATACCAGAAAGAGTATAAAACTTTCCATGCATACCTTTAAGTCACGAACTTGTTTGGCCAAATGAAGGAGATCTTGAACAGCGCGAACATTAACATATGCAGCCAGTCGTAAATGCTCGCTAAATTTTACAATAGCTGCAATGTGTATAATACAAGTCGTTTCATTTACTAGAGTCTCTCTATCATCGTGTGATATTCCTAATCCAGGTACACTACAGTCTCCTTCGATAACAAAAATTTTCCCTTTGAATTCCGATTTATCCCGTCTCAAGTCCTACAAACATTTTTTCAATTTAAAGAAAATTACGAACTATTTCAGTCTTACAGCTCTCTCTAGGAGAATTTCAAGTCTTTCCTCTGCCGATTTTTCTTTGTGTTGTCTTATAAGAAGGTATATTTTTTTCGGTTCACATGTGGTTAATAATTTCCGAAGAACAAGTTTTCCTAACAAGCCGGTGCTTCCGGTTATAAAAACTGTCTGGTTTTTGTAAAATTCTTGTATTTGACTGAGAGCCATGTTTATGGTTTTAAAGTAGGACGCCCTCGCTGGTCCTGTAGCTGTTCAGTGGTTTTTGGGGTGCAAAGTGAAAGCTAATCTACTTCTGGGGAGATCTTTTATTTTGTTAGTTTTAGTTCCGCGATGTGATGATAATTCTGTTCTTTGTTTTGTTGTAATAGTTCAGAAAAGAACGAATTTAGTACATAAATATCATCTCATTTTAATATTTACTGTTATCTACAAAGAAGCGTTATTTATTTTCTTAAAGTAAGTACATTTTCATGTGTTTTTTTTTTTGCGTTGTATAGTGTGTGCGGGCTTCAGGGAATGAAGCAAGTTGAGTTTAAATTCCGTTTTTTATTCACTCCGGTTATGTATTAAATTTCGCTGTTATGTCTTTTCGTGCTTTAAAATATATCACAAAAATTCTGAAATAAAACGGTGCTTTATAGCAAGACATATTTACCGTAATTAAAAGCGGTATTAAAAAAAAACTAGACAGTTTATCTGACATACTTTCTTAATCACTTCTATGAGACTAAACTCAAAAAAAGGAAGCTTAGAATGCGAGCGCAGCAAGCTTGTGAAACTTTTGTAAAAAATAATTTACTGCTGTTTCTGAGAACCTAATCTTTAACAAAGAAATGTATTTATTTTATACAAAAAAGAGAATCTTAAAAACAATTGTGATTGTGATTGATTATTACAGTTGACTCCTTACAGACTCTTTATTTAATTCTACTAAACTAAACTTAAAAAAAAAATTTAGAATGAGAGCGCAGTTCACGTTTGATTTAAAAAATTAGTCCAAAGTTATAACACTTTCAGGTAAATGGGGTGACTCATTTTTGATTTGATCAATAAAATAGTTTTTTGTAAAATTAATTTGTGCTTTTTATTGAAAACAATGGTCGCATTGATAAACCACAACTATGGAGTGTCATGTTTTGGTTAGGATGTATTCGGCAAAATTTTGAGATGTCACTAATGAAAAAAAAAAACACCACTTACCACCTTCAGGAAAGTTTTGACACAATCCTTTCGTCCTCTGAAAAATTCAAATTCAAATCCACACGGACCTTTCGATTTAGAACAACGAAATTTGAAATCCAACGAACTTAGAAATGAACTTTTCTAGCAGACACGTCATGCACCTAACCAGTTCTGCACCTAATGTAACAATATTGATGCAACTTGAGTTGTTTTGCCATTCACAGAAGGTTTGGGGGGCGATCGTCTCTTTTACCGCTTCCGTTGTGGTTGCTGACAATTTTTGTCATTAGAAATTCTCAAAATTTTCCGCTTCTCCACTTTTGGTAGGTGTGGCAGACATAATTACTATGTGGCATATAGGTAAGCGTATTACAATTAATCTACTTAATATGATAAAGCGTCTTTTGTACAGTGTTGGGGACAGATACTTGTAAAAATATCTAGATACAGATATAGATATAAGAGAGATAAAAGTATCTAGATACAAGATACAAGAAAACAAATACTTTTTGAAGCTTTGGCGAATAAAATAACTGAAAACATGTTTATGTATTTTTTTATTTATTGTTTAATAATTTTTTAAAATTAACATTTCGAACGAATTGTCACCTAAATTATGTCTTCTTGGTGTCAGAATTTGGTTTCCGCTACTAAACACCCGTTCCACAGGTGCAGAAGAAGGGATTGTGGTATTAAATTTAAAAAATAAACATTTTACTGTAGCATAGTTATTCAAGACTGAAAAATCTTTCGCTTCGCTGTTTGATGTGTCGTAAATTGTGCAATATTTATTACGTACGCTTAAAAAGAATATTTTTTTAGTTTTTATTCCAATACTACAGTGTCCAAATTGTGTTTGAGTATATCAAATAATTATCTCCAGCATTAAAATTAATATATTTCAAAAGAATACGGGAAATGATTATTCTGTGCTGAAGGTCTGTTGTCGGCAACCTGTCATAAATTATTATTCTTCAATATCGGCTTACGATGTTTTTATCACCATGTCCAATAATCGTGTATCCCGGTGCGGCAGGTATATACATTTTAGCAAGAATCGCTGGTTCCGTTTAAGGCAAAATAAGTACAATTTCTTAGAAAGGTATTTAAACCCCTTATTGGATCAAAAGCTGCCTGGCAGGCCGGAATCACCAGAGTGCAACTTTAAATTTTAAGATTTTTGTTGAAACTTATTTTATTTTAATCTCGTTTCACGATTTCTGAGAATATATCACGATCAATTATTCTACCGAGGGTTGTAAAACTATTAATTTTATTGCCCAAGATTTACACTTAAACAAAATCGCCACATTCTAGGGCAAAACGGACCTGCCAAGCCCGCCTCGCGTTAGGTCCAACAATGAAAAAGTGAAGAAATGACACATGTGGCAACAGGAAAAGATGCTACATTTGTCTGAAAAATCTATATTAATAAAAATGAATCGCCGAAATGTATGTACGCTCATAACTTCAGAACGGCTGCACCGAGTTGAAAGATTCATTTTTTTACGTGTTCCTTATTGTCAGGACAAGGTTTATATGTAAGAAAATTTATAAAAAATAAGAGGGCTAAAAGATTTAAAAAAAATAAAAATTTTGCATGGGAATCGCCACTTCGAATGAATTTGAATAGTTGGGTTTCTGACGGACCTGTCGCCTAACTGACGTGTCATACAAAACTATTTCTTCCGTGCGATTGTGAAAAGTATTATTACATTTCAAGTCGTTGTTTGTTTTTTCGTAACAAGAAACGTCGTTTATTTTAAGAAAAGTGTTCGTTAAAGTGAATTTAGTTACGCATTGCGAAAGTTTCTTATTAATTTTGATCTGCCATTCTATTTACGTATATTCACTTTGTTGGTTTCGACAAAACCTCAAACTTTACCGTTATTCGAGGATTTAATTTGAAATTTTCAATATTTTAAAATTCTCAAGACAAAATTTACAGATTTGATTGACAGTGAAAATAATTCTGTGTCGTTTTATGCCGAGAAGACGACAAGCTGACATACGTCCACGAAGTCAATCAATTGTGCGGCGAACTACCTCAGGTGCAAATCGCAATGCTCTATTTCATGGGTAATTTGGATACGGAAGTTGATCAGCGTTGTGCTCATAATCAACATAATAGTCAAACATTGAAGCGAGACATTGGGTGGTATGAATAAAACTGAGTAGACACTCATATTCGAAGTACGAAGTACCTACTTGCAAACATTGTATCTCCCCGGACACAAATTGAACATCTAGGCGTTTTGTGAGCATTTAATCTAAAAATGAGCATCGGTGTGGCAAATGACTATTTGTCCTTATAAATAATAAATTAAGTGTAATATATTTTTGTTTCCTTAAGAATACAAAGTTAACAAAGTTAGTTGAGTTACAAAAGTCTCTTTTGCTCCACGTTGGCCACCAACGAGCGATTTTCAAGATTTTTGTGAAATTTTGCTGGTTTTGAATTTGAATGTTCTGTCCTCGATAGTTGATGCTCAGCAAGAACCACGGGAAGGTCTGGAGCAGATCTCGCTAGGAAAGGAGAGGGCTAGGATTTGTTAATGAGGGATAGAACGTTATATAGTACAATACAATGGAAATACAATACAGGTACCTACAATCTAACTACAATACAGAATACACTACAGATACAGATACAATTCAGATACAATACAAATGCAAAGTTAGTAGCCAATACACCACCGGAAGAAATTGCACCAAAAATTGAGAATGTTGCAAAATGAAAACCCAAGCAAGCACACCGATGGAACTCGGAACGAAATCTATTGGTCGCAGCGCTCACACGCCCAAGGGAGAACGCAGCCGCATAAATCCAAGGCCGACTTACCTCATCCTTATAGGAGATGCGACCCAGCGTCTAAGGGCCAACAATACCCCCCCAGGCCAAAGCGTCTGACGACATGGAGAATTCAGACTCTGAACCAAAGAATGCACTGTTGCAAAATGAAAACCCAAGCAAGCACACCGATGGAACTCGGAACGAAATCTATAGGTCACAGCGCTCACACGTCCAAGGGAGAATGCAGCCGCATAGATACAGGGCCGACTGACCTCATCCTTTTAGGATGATGAACCTCATCCGTTTAGGATGATGACCCAGCGTCTAAGGGCCAACAGAACCCCCCCAGGCCAGAGCGTCTGACGACATGGAGAATTCAGTCCCGGAAAAAGAATGCACTGTTGCAAAATTAAAACCCAAGCAAATGCACCATGAAAACAAAGCATTTGCACCACTGGAGCTAAATTGGCAAGACCCAAGTTAAGTTAGTAACACATACAATATACAGTACAAAATGCTTCAATTACAAAAGTTACAATATACAAATTTCTCCACTTTTGCCACCAAAGAGCGATGACTTTGCTCGCTCGTTGCTGTTGCCCAGCAAGAACCAAACAATACGAGGAGGTCTGGAGTGCGTCTTGCCATTAAAAGAGAGGACTAAGGTTTGATAGCATGGGTGAAGGACACCGTATTTTCTAAATTTGGACGCCGTACTTTAAAAATGTTGAATACGGTATTTTGTGAATTATGAACGCAGTACTTTGTATATTCTAAAGGAGTATTTTATCAGTCCTGAATGCATGTTATTAACAACATATTTAAAAAAAAATCAGGCATTTTTGGAAAAATATCCACTTTCCTTCGTGTTCACAGCACTTAACACAAAACATTTTCGCTAATATTTATTAACAATAAATTAGAAATTCGCGAACACGTGCTACTTTTAACCCAAAACGAAGCTCCAATGTTGCTGCTACCAGACCGGAATCAAAACTGAACAGAAAGGATCGAAAATGTGACCTTTTATCTGGTAGCTCACGTGACAGTGACATCATCGTACGTCACGATGAGATTGCAAAAATTATTTTTCATATTTTAGATCAGAAATTGTACATTTTCGGGGTTAATTTAACAACGTCTAAACAAACTAATTTGTTTTTACTAACCTCGTGTTCTTAGGAAAACGGATTTCGGTTTAATTATCATATATTGATAGTTATCATATTTGAACATTATGAATTGTATTAATAATGTTTAAATTTTATTTAATTATATCGCGAAAATGTATAGCTTTGACCCAGCAACTTCAATCGTTTCGAAAATTTATCCAAAATGTAAACATTGTCTACCAAACGAATCACGGAATCCGATAAATTAAAACTGAAGTCGTACTTACCCTGTTTTCGGTCCTTTTCGGAAAAATATCCATTTTCGTTCGTGTTCACAGCACTAACACAACATATTTTCCGTAATATGTATTAATAATAAACTAGAAATTCGCTAAAACGCTCCACTTTTACGCCGAAATGAAGCGACGATCTTGCCGCCATCAAACAGAAACTAAAACTGAGCACAAAGGACCGAAACAGGTGACCTTTATACAAGTAGCTCAGGTGACATTGACGTCATCGTACGTCACGATGAGATTGCAAAATTTATATTTCATATTTTGGCCGTGAAAATGCGCATTTTCGGGGACAATTTAACATTGTTTAAACAAATTGATTTGTTTTTAATAATTTCAGGCTTGTAGGACAACGGGTTTCGGTTTAATTATCATACATTGATGCTTATCATATTTAAACATTATAAATGATATTAATTATGTTTGAAATTTATTTATTTATGTCGTGAAAATGTATAGTTTTGATCAACCGATTTCAATCGTTTCGAAAATTTTCCCAAAATTTAAATATTGTCGAGTGAACGGATCACGGAATCCGATAAATTCAAACTGAACTCGAACTTACCCTGTTTTCGGTCCTTTTCGAAAAAATATCCATTTTCGTTCGTGTTCACAGTACTAATACAACACATTTTCACTAATATTTAAATATATAAATTAGAAATGCGTGAAAAGAGCCCTACTTTTAAGCCAAAACGGACTCTGATGTTGCTACCACCAAACCGAAATCAAAACTAAACGCAGAGGACCGAAAAATGTGACCTTTTATCAGGTGGCTCACGTGACAGTGGCGTCATCGTACGTCACGATGAGATTGCAAAAATTATTTTTCATATTTTCGCTCAGAAATTGTACATGTTCGGGGTTAATTTAACAATGTTTAAACAAACTAATTTGTTTTTGCTAACTTCGTGTTCTTAGGAAAATGGTTTTCGGTTTAATTATCACATATTAATAGTTATCATATTTAAACATTTTGAATTATATTAACTATGTCATTTCTGCAACTCTTGAGTTATTTTCTAAAATAAATTGACTGATCCATAAATTTTTTTGTCACTGTAAAAGCAAATCTAAAAAATATGAATGCAATGATAAATTTACGAAAATATACTGATGGTATTTTGCACATTTAAGATAGGAAAAAAAAGATAGTATAACAAAAACATGTCGTTGCAGCCAAAATTACTTTTTTGAGAACATATTTACAGTTTCTAAATTCTTGTGAAAATTTGACTTTCGTGTATTTGGATGAAACATGGATCTATCAAAATGGTTCGTCCATTCGTTACTGGGTGCACAATATTGATCTAAAAAGCAATTCCACCAAAATTAAAACTGAAGGATCAAGGTTTACTATTCTCCACGCGGGTTTTTCAACGGGGTTCTTGGATGGTTATAACAATTTTTTAAATTCAAAAAATAACGATAAAGACTATCTTAAAACGATGGACGGGACAATTTTTCAAAATTGGGTGGTTAATCAGCTCATTCCTGCTTTGGCAAAGTTGAACCAAAAATGTGTGGTGGTTTTAGACAATGCACCGTATCATTCGGTTCAGTTGGATAAACCACCCACTTTTTCTAGTAAAAAATACAGGAATGGCTCTTTAAACATAGTGTTGAGTTAGACAAAAAAATTTCGAAGAAACAGTTGTGGGATTTAATTAAACCCTTCAGAAACAATAGAAAAAAAAAAGATATTTGGTAGACGAGACATTAAGAGAAAGTGACCATGAAGTTCTTAAATTACCTCCGTACCATTGTCAATATAATCCAATTGAAATGGCGTGGGGATTTTGTAAGAACTATTACAACAAGCAATTAAATTCTCAACCTTCATTAAAAAATAGGGTGGAGAATTTATGGCTTGAGGCGCTTTCTAAATGTACTCCAAGCATGTGGCAAAATTTTTGTAAACATTGTGAAAAGCTTATTTTATCAGATTGGGAAAAAATATAGGAAATCTTTCGTACGAATCTTTACCTCCTTTAATTATTTCGCTAGGTGAATCTGATTCAGAATCTGAATTTGAAAATGACGGTCATGATACAGATTTTCATATAATGGAAATGGAGTGAATTGTAGCTTGTCGGGGAGTGATATTTTTACGCATCGTTCGTTCTAAATTTACCAAGATAGTATGTGAAAAACTACCTGACGTACAACAAAATAAGTATAATTTTAGTTAGATCATCCACGTTGTTACTTTGCACCAAATTTTAAGCATTTTCATTTTTTTTTGTAACTCTTTATGGACCTGAAGAAGACGTGTAGTAACGTTCTTATTAATAAGTGTTTGGAAGTACTTAGTAAAAGCAAATAAAGAGCACTTACGTAAGCATTAGTAATAGCTATATAGATAAATCATTCAATTTAAGGTCGGAAAAATGTTTCAGAAGAGCTAAACCCATCAAAGCACTAGAGCAAGGTTGTTGTCTTTTAGCAACCCTTTTAGTAATCTGAGAAAAGTAAAAAAAGAGGTTGGAAGATATGGAAATAGAACTCTCCTTTTATTAAACGATTTGTGTTAGAGTTTGAGTAAGCTGTGAAAATGTGCACCATAGCCTAATGTAACACAAACATTAATTTATTGAAATTCCATTGTACAAATATTCAGAAATTATGCAAAATTTGTTTGCCACGTGTTTACTATCAGAAAAATATAAAACTTTCCACGCATACCTTTGTTTTGCCAAATTAGGAGATCCTCCAAAGCGCGAACATTAACATACGCAACCATTCTTAAATGCTCGCTAAATTATGCAGTAACTGCAATGTGTGTAACACAAGATATTCCCAACCCAGGTAAACCGCGGTCTCTTTTGATAGCAAAAATTTTCATTTCAAATTCCGATTTACCCCGTCTTAAGTCCTGCAAACATTTTTCACATTTAAAGAAAATTACAAACTATTTCAATTGTCATATAAAGAAGATAAATTTTCTTCGGATCACATATCGTTGACAATTTTCCATAGACCAAATATATTTAATTCAGGGTCATCTTTAATCGTTTTGAAGTAGCGAAAGCTCTGAAACCCACTTTTGCGATATTTTGTACAAGTATAATTTTCTTCACTTTGAACAAATAACCAGCTAACGCTGCTTCAAAATTTATTGTATCAAGCAAATTTTGTTTGTTCAGGAAAGGAAGGAAAACAAAAATACGACGCAAGGAGTAAGATCCTGCCGAAAGTAGCCACAAGCTAACTCATCAACATCCAGTTGATTTAAAATTGAAGTTAAAATTTCGTCTCGGTATCTTACAGCATTTATGTTTCCAATGTTTAGGAAATGCTGTCAAGTTGGGTACCAGATCCGGTCTGATTTTTGTACAATTTCTGTATTTGGCTCAGACTAGTTTTTGTGCGGAACGCTGTCGTTGATCCTCTAACTTTTCAGTATTTTCGAACAAAACTTTATATTTTACTGTAGCAACTTCAGAAGTGTAGTTACGTCAATTTAACAAACATAACACGTGTGTGCATAATGTTTGCATGAATTATCATTCCATTACACTGGATGTTATCTTAAAGAATTTTATTTGCATTCGAACTCTCTTTTTGTCTAATATTTCAAGGCTTCAGACACTAAGTTTATAGCACTCCATGTTTAAATTACATTTTTTGTGCACTTGTGCTATACAGGCTGTTTTTGAAAATTTTGAAAAGAAAGAAAGGACAAAGAAAAAATAATAATACACAAACATAACGGCGGTTATCAACGTTTTGACCCATTTACTTTAAAAAAATTACGTGCAACAATTAACAAAAATGCGTAAATAAATAATAAAAAATAAAAAACAACAAATTACTATAACAATTCAAAATAAATGCCACAGGACACTCACGAGTGCAAAAGCAAGACAATAATATAATAATGCAATGAATTTGCGTTTTCGTTGGGCTTGAGGTAAAGTATGCATCGGATCTTTTAAGAGATGAATCCTTGCATAAACTACACAACTTTCGAAAAAACTCCCCCACTCCAACTTCTCCATGTTGAACGGAAACAACTCCCGGTCTTTTTCTTTCAAAGCTTTCCACAATTTATGGCAATTAGTCGTTTCAAATTTCCAAGAATTCGCACTAAAGGGCTCTAATTCGTCACACATTTTGTGTATTTTTTGGTACATTTTGACGAATCTGAAAATGCTTTAATGTGAAAAAGTTTGTACAACGAAATACTCACCTTCGTTTTTTTCTAAGACACAAGCAAACCAGATCGACGATATAGGCTGGTACGAAATGAAGCCAGAATCGGAGGAATTTAAGGTAGTACTTGTTTGTGGTAAAAATCACGAGGCACACATTAATGACATGCAAGCTGGGGTAGACTTTTGCTGATAATTTTCCATACTCGTAGAGTTCAGCTATGGAATATCGTACATTTTGTGAAGGTGACTAAATAAATGACACTTACTTTTCGTTAACTGATTTTTCTCAGAACCTGTATAGTTGTAGATAGGTGGAAGCGAACTTTTCTCTCTTGCGTAGTATGCAGCCGCCAAAACAATATTTGCTGTGTAGTCACATGGTATTAGGGATATAGGTTTAGTGTCGGCTAGGAGGCAATGTATCAAACCTAGATACGAGCCTATGAGGAAGGCAGTGATACCTTGAATTGCATCCAGCCAACCTGGTTCAGGTTCTTGGAAGGCGCCCATCACTGAAAACAATTCTCCTGTAACTTGAAAAAGTAAAATGATTTTTTATTAACTTACGAATCGCCGGTCTGACGATACAAACTGGCAAATCTTGAGCTTCGGTTTTGATAACATTTTCGGCCACAGCTTTGGTGAATGTGTAGGTGTTGGGCCAAGAACCTAGAAGTCTGGAAAAATCGAAAATTTTGAAATAAAAAGACCAATTAATAAAGAAAGCTTCAGATTTTTCGTGAAACTTTTACTTACTCTGGAGTGGTGTTTGTTATTGTTTCGTCATCCGTTGACTCCAGCATTTTCAAGAGGTTTGTGGCTGTCATTCCAGGCTCATAGTATTGTTCTTCGATTAAATGTTTTTGGTTACAGTTTGAGTAAGCTGTGGAAACGTGCACCAAAGCCTAATGCAACGAAAAAAATTAGTTAAATTAAATAAAATATGTTTAAAACTTTCCATGCATACCTTTAAGTCACGAACTTGTTTGGCCAAATGAAGGAGATCTTGAACAGCGCGAACATTAACATATGCAGCCAATCGTAAATGCTCGCTAAATTTTATAATAGCTGCAATGTGTATAATACAAGTCGTTTCATTTACAAGAGTCTCTCTATCATCCTGTGATATTCCCAATCCAGGTAAACCGCAGTCTCCTTCGATAACAAAAATTTTCCTTTTGAATTCCGATTTATCCCGTCTCAAGTCCTGCAAACATTTTTTCTATATAAAGAAAACTACAAACTATTCCAGTCTTACAGCTCTCTCTAGGAGTATTTCAAGTCTTTCCTCTGGCGATTTTTCTTTGTGTTGTCGTATAAGAAGGTAGATTTTTTTCGGTTCACATGTGGTTAATAATTTCCGAAGGACAAGTTTTCCTAACAAGCCGGTGCTTCCGGTGATAAAGACTGTCTGGTTTTTGTAAAATTCCTGTATTTGACTCAGAGCCATGTTTATGGTTTTAAAGTGAAACGCTTTCGTTGCTCCTGTAACTGTTCGGAGTTTTTGGAGTGCAAAGTAAAAGCTGATCTATTTCTGAGGAGATATTTTATTTTGTTAGTTTTAGTTTCTTGATGTGATGATAATTCTATATACTAAAATAAATTGCTGTATTTGCGTGAATTATTATCTCATTTTAGTAATTATTGTTGTTATCTACAAAAGAACTCTTTTCCTTGAGTACATTTTCATGTGTTTTTTTGCTTTTGTATAATGTGTCTATGTAATAGATTGAAGGCTTTAGGGGCTGAAAGGGTTACCTTACGACTAACAAATTAGCAGCGAACTGAGTTTAAATTACATTTTTTATTCGCCTGGGTTGTGTATTAAATTTCGCTCTTATGTCTTTTAGAGCTTTATAATGGAAGACATATTAGCCGTAATCAAAAGCGGTATTAAAAAAACCGAGGCATAAGGCGGTATCACTCGGCCTCGTTTGGGACAGTTTTCATCCCATTTGAAATGTCGTGTAAAAACGAGAGAAATTGACTTAGGACGATAGTTTTTTTTTTTTTTTCTTAACAATCCTTATTAGACATATGTTGTCCCTCCTAACACATTCAAAATTATTCGAAAGCTATCGGTGTTTTACTTTTGATACTCTATGTAAATTGTTGAATTATAAAAATCGGTCTAAAGTTATTTAGACAGCACTTTCCTCGCTCTTGAAATCCGGTAGAACATGTTCAGTTTTGTCAGATAATTGTAAGATTCGATTTAGACATTTTTTTTGCTGATAACGCAGTAAAGAGATCCATCTGGCGAATGACTAATTTTATGTTTTCTCGACGTTTCTCGATTTTATATCACAATTTTTGGTTTCTTAATTTCCTTCATTTTTTTTGTTGTTTATTTCGATTTACATTTTTTTATTTATCCAATTTTTCAAATTTTCAGGGTTTGATTTTTCAAATCCATGATTTTCCGCGTTTAAAATTTTTCAATTTGCAGTTTTTGGATTTCCAGTCTTCCAATTTCTCAATTTCTTTAATTTTCAATATTTTGATTTATTTTTCACTTTTTCGAATTTCAAGGTTTTCGAGTTGCAATTTTTTAATTTTGCAATTTTTCACATTCTCAGTTTTTAATTTTAGTCATTTGCAATTTTTCGTTTCCTCAATTTTTCAAGTTCTCCATTTTTTATTTTTCATTTTCCCGATTTTTTTAATTTTCATTTTTTCAATTCCTTTATTTCTTGTTGTTTCGTTCGATTTTTCAGTTTTTCGAATTTTCAGTTTCTCAATTTTTCGTTTCCACAATTTTTCATGTTCCCGATTTTTAGTTTTCAATGTGGCGAATTTTTAATTTTTATTTTCTCGATTTATATCACAATTGTCCGTTTTTTCATTTCCCTTATTTTCTGTGTTTTTTTTTTTCGATTTTACAATCTTTCAATTGTTCAATTTTTCAAAGTTTCAGGCTTTGAATTTTCAGTTCGTCCATTTTTCAGTTTTTAAATTGTTCACTTTGCAGTTTTTGGATTTCCAGTCTTCCGATTTTCCAATTTCTTTAATTTTCAATATTTCTATTTCATAATACATATTTCTTTTTTTTTATTTTTCACTTTTTCGATTCTTAAAATTTTCAAGTTTTCATTTTGTAATTTTTCGTTTTTTATTTTTCAATTTTACAATCTCTCGACTTCCAAAATTTTCAATTTTTCGGTCTGCATCAGTTTTTCAATTTGCCAATTTTTCAATATTACAGTTTTTCATTTTTCGTATTTTCAGTTTCTCAATTTTTGATTTTTCCCTTTTCCAATTTTTTTGTTTCCGATTTTTATTTTTCATTTTCCCGATTTTTTAATTTTCACTTTTTTGGTTTTATATCACAATTTTTCATTTTTTCATTTCCTTTATTTTTTGTTGTTTCTTGTTTCGTTTATTCAATTTTTCAAATTTTCAGGGTTTTTTCAATTTTTCTTCAAATTTTCAAGTTTAATTTTCACTTTTTACATTTTTCAAGTTTTTATTATACACTTTTTTTGATTTTTCAATTTTACAATTTGTTGACTTCCAAATTTTCCAATTTTTCAATATTACGATTTCTCATTTTTCCATTTTCACATTCTCGATTTTTAATTTGTCTCTTTTTCAAATTCTCGTCCCCTCAATTTTACAACTCCCCGATTTTTATGTTGCGTTTTCCTGATTTCATTTCATTTATTTTTCATTTTCTCGATTTTCTATCAAAATTTTTTGTTTTTTCATTTCCTTCATTTTTGTTGTTTCTTTGGATTTTTCAATTTTTCGGTTATTCAATTTTTCAAATTTTCAGGCCAATCGATTCCAATTCGTCGATTTTCCAATTTTTAAATTTTTCAATTCGCAGTTTTTGGGTTTCCACCCGATTTTTACTTTTTGGATTTTCAATTTTTCGTTAAACTGTAGATTTTTCAAATTTTCGACAGTTCTATGCTTCGATTTCTAAATTTTTTTCCAACTTTTCGATGTTTTAATTTTTCTTTTTTAAAATATTTCAATTTTTTTTATTTCTCGATTTATCGAATACAGATGTTTGGATATTTTATTGTTCAATTTCTCTATTTATCAGTTTCTCAATTTTTTTCTATTTCTCGGTTTTTCGATTGTTCAATTTTGCGATATTTCAATTGTTCAATGTTTTAAATTTTAGGTTTTTCGATTTCTGGATTGTTTGATTTTCCAGTTCTTCAGTATTTCTATTTTCCAATTTTTCGAATTTTGACGTTGCTAAATTTTCAGTTTTCCGATTTTTCAATTAATATATATTTTTACTTCCCGAGCGTAAGCAAAGGAAGTATTGTAATCGAGTCCGTCGGCCGACTCTCTACTTTTACGTTTTCTCGATCTTTCATGACCCCTAGAAGACGAAGAAATTATGTCTCCCATTTCCGTCTGTCTGTCCGTCCGTCTGTCCGTCTCTGTCCGTCTGTTGTCCCGGATTTTTATTAGACAGATAATCACCGAAAGTACTCGACCGATTGTTGTGAAATTTTGTACTTATATTAAGAATATCATGTAGATGGTAAAACGCTAACCAAAATTTGTCTAATCATCCCCACCACTAATGCGATGACGTCACTTCAAAATTGTACATAGTAAATGGGTTTTCAATTGTATAAAATAACATAGTCCTACACATGTAGTTTACAACTCTGAATCGACTTTTCACCCGAAACGTCCAGATTTTTGGAAAAAAAATCAAAATTATAAAACAACATTTTGAAATTTAATTTTTAATCTGCTAACCAGAATGCTTTGAAATGTTGCAGATGTTTTAAGGCTATAAAGAGCATCAGAGCATCATAAATCTTTAGTCAAAAAATATTTGCTTATCCCCTCCAAAAACTTGATGACGTCAGCTCAAAAGTTTGTGGAATAAATCATATCTAAAATGTACAAAATATGATGAGTCTGTACTTGTGATCTATCACTCCATTCATATTTTTTGGATTTGCATATACAGGGTGACTCAAAAAAATTAATGAATGCGTAAATATATTTTATTGATTTAATCAGGAACTTCAAAACGGAATGCTCTGACATCTTGCAGATGTTTTAAGGTTATAAAGAGCATAATAAATGTTTAGTCAAAATATATTGCTTATCCCCTCCAAAAACTTGATGACGTCAGCTCGAAAATTTGCCGAATAAATCATATCTAAAATGTACAAAATATGATCAGTCTGTACTTGTGATCTATCACTCCATCCATATTTTTTGGATTTGCATATACAGGGTGATTCAAGAAAATAAATGAAAGCGTAAATTTATTTTACTGATTTACTCAGGAACTACAAAACCGAATGCTTCGAAATCTTGAAGATATTTTAAAATTATCATAAGCATGGTAAATTTTTGATCAAAACGTATTTGGTCGTCCCCCCTAAAAAATTTATGACGTCACCACAAAATTTTGCTGAATAAATCCTATCTAAAATGTACAAAATATGGTGAGTCTCTTCTTGTGATTTATCATTCCATTCAAATTTTTTCGATTTGCATATACAGGGTGACTCAAAAAAATTAATGAATGCGTAAATTTATTTTATTGATTTAATCAGGAACTACAAAACCGAATGCTTTGAAATCTTGCAGAGGTTTTAAGGTTATAATGAGCATAATAAATTTTTAGTCAAAATATATTTGGTTATCTTCTACAAAAAACTGATGACGTCAGCTCAAAAGTTTGCCGAATAAATCGTATCAAAAATGTACAAAATATGATGAGTCTGTACTTGTGATTTATCATTCCATTCATATTTTTGGATTTGCATATGCAGGGTGACTCAAAAAAATTAATGAAGGCGTGAATTTATTTTATCGATTTAATCAGGAATTACAAAACCGAATGCTTTGAAATCTTGGGAATATTTTAAAGTTATCATAAGCATGGTAAACTTTTGTTCAAAATGTATTTGTTCATCCCTCCTAAAAAAATTGATGACGTCACCCTTAAATTTTGCTGAATAAATCCTATCTAAAATGCAAAAAATATGATGAGTTTGTACTTGTGATTTATCATTCCATTCATATTTTTTAGATTTTCTTAAGAGGTGATTCAAAAAAATTAATGAAGTAAATTTATTTTATTGATTAAAGACAACACTTATTATTAGTATTACACCCCAACCAACCCAATTTGGTAGACACAAAATTTGTTAAAGGAAAAACTCGGTTGAAACATAAGGGTAGCACCCTTATTTACATCGACTTTAATATTACAGACCTGCATTTGTTTTATGCGCTCACTTGGTTCCGCGAATGTGAAATAGACATGTTTACAATCAACCAATTGTGAATTTCACCGTCAAGAATTAAAATAAAACCCAATGTTTTATATAATAAGCGGAAGTCGAAGCAATAAAACCGATGGTCGTTTTGTTTACAGTTTCTCTGTTTGACTCTCACGTATGCTGTTACGCCTGTCATCTTAAATTAAGAATGTTTATACATACACGATTTTCAGTTGCCTCTGATACGTAGGTATACGTGAGTAAATTGTTTCGTTATTTTATTGATTATTACAAATCAATATTCAAAACGACCCAATTCATTTTCCCGAAAATTTGAGAATATAATAATTTTATTCTTAGTATTACACTACATCTATCCCAACTGATATACGTGTCCTTGCAAAAATGTTGATGACGTCATCGCAATTTTTTTTTAAATTCCCACTACAAAAACGTAATGAGAAAAAAAACACAATAGGCATGCAGTCGTCAAGTTTCCGACAGCGAGGGAAGTACTGTCTAAACTCTTTAGACCATTTTTTTTTTATTTTCCCGATTCTCGAATTCGCAGATTCGATTTTTCAGTTCTTCAATTCTTCGATTTTTGGATTTTTCGGTTGGCTAATTTTTTAATTAAATATCTCAATTTTGGATATTTGTTTCAGTTTTGGGATTTTTCAATATTTCTATTTTTCGGCTTTTCGGTTTTTAATTTTTTGGATTTTCCGTTTTTCGTTTTTTAAACTTTAGATTTTTCAATTTTCGACTGTTTTATATATATTTCGATTTCTGAGTTTTTCGAGTTTTCAGTTCTTGTATATTTTGATTTTTCTTTTTTCCGAATTTTTTATTTTTCGATTTTTCAATTTTTTTTATCGAGATTCGGATGTTTCGATTTTTCGATTTATCGGTTTTTCGTTTTTTTACTTTTCGGCTTTTCGATTTTTGAGTCATCGGATTTTTCAATTTTCCAATTTTTTGCATTTTCAAGTTTTGATGTTTCTGAATTTGCAGTTTTCCGATTTCTCAATTAATCTATTTTTTGATTTTCCCATTTTCGCCTTGCCAAGGTCCCGATTTTTCAGTTTTTCAGTTCCTCAATTTTTCGATTCTTTAGGTTTGCAATTTTTCGGCTTTTTTTTAAATCGAATACTTAAATACCGAATTAGTGAAGAAATTGAAAAATCAAAAACTACAACCGAGAACCTGAAAAATTAAATGTAGATCTAGAAATTTAAAAATCGAAAAATTGAAAAATCAAAAAAAATCGAGAAACTGAAAAATCAAAAATTTAGTAAAGACACGAAAAATTGAAAATCGAAAACTTTAAAAATTAAAAAAAACTGAAGAACCAAAAAATTGAAAAATACAAAAATAACTAGATCATAAAACTGAAAACTCAAAAATTTATAAAACTAAAAATCCAAAAACCTGAAGAATCGAAAAATTGAAAAAACGATTTAAGAAATGAACAATTGATAAATCCAAATTCAGAAATGGAGAACTTGGAAAATTGAAAAATTTGAAATCAAGAAATTGAAGAGTCGAAAGACTGAAAGATCGGTAAACAAATATTCGAAATACTGAAAAATCAAAAATTTATAAAATCGAAAAATTGAAACGTTGACATTAAAAATTAACAAAATGAAAAATTAAAATGTCAATTGAAACTTTTAAAACGGAAACAAAAAATAATAAAATTGGAAAATTGAAGCAAAGAATCGCAAAACTGTGGGATCGAAATAATGTGGAATCTAAAAATTGCAAAGCAAAAAACTGAAGAGGTGAAAAATTGAAAAAACGCAAAAATTTATTAAACTAAAAATAGAAAACCTGAAGAATAAAAAAATTGAAAAAGCAATTTGAGAAATAAAAAACTGAAAAATTGCAAATCGAAAAATTGAAAAATCGGTAATAACTGGAAGATTGAAAAATTAAAATTCGAAATACTAAAAAATCAAAAATTTATAAAATCTGAAAATTGAAATACTGACATTAATAATCGAATAATTACAAATTAACAAAATTAATAAAAACTACAAATTTCCAATCAAAAAATTGATTGAAATTGAAAATCCAGAAATTGAATAAGGGAACAATTATTGTAAAAAAAAATTCGAATTGAAAATATCAAATAATTAAAAATCGAGAAACTGTAAAATTGGAAGCAAAAAATTGAAAAAAACTGAAATAAATATCTTCACAAATAGAATTTTCTGTTTTGGAAATGGCTTCAAATTTGTGACATATACACGAAATACTAGTTAACACCCCAAATTTAAATTATTTTGATGGATAAAAATTTTTCAGTTCCTCATCACAAAAATTCTGCAATAAAACGGTGCTTTATAGCAAAACATATTTACCGTAATTTAAAGTGCTATTAAAAAAACCTAGACAGTTTCGCTGACATACTTTCTTAATCACTTCTATGAGACTAAGGTACAAAAAAAATCTTAAAAACAATTGTGATTACTAAAATTGGGTTTTTTTGTAAAATTATTATTATTTTTTTTAATTAAAAACTGGACGCCTTGATAAACCATAACTATGGAGTCATAATATTTTGCTTAAATAGAAACGAAATAAAAAAACAAACACCACTTACCATTTTCAGGAAAATTTTGACACAATCTTTCGTTCTCCGAAAAATTTAAATTCAAGTAGACACAGACGTTTCGCTTTACAACAAAGCAATTTGCAATCCAACGAACTTAGAAATGAACTTTTCAAGCAGACACGTCATACATCTAACCAGTTCTGTACCGAATATAACAATATTGATGCAAGTTGAGCTGTTGTGCCATTCACAGAAGGTCACACTTGGTTTGGGGGGCGATGGTCTCTTACCGCTTCCGTTGTGTTTTTTTGACTATTTTTGTCATTAGAAATTCTCAAAATTTTCCGCTTCTCCACCTTTGGGTAGGTGTGGCAGAAATAATTACTATGTAGCACATAACCGTATTACAATTAATGTACTTGAAATGATAAAGCGTCTTTTGTAATACCTCAATTAGCTGATGGAGTTAGGTGTTACACAAGAACGCAATTTAGTGCACTGTTCAGGTCGATGCGTGTGTACTAAAAACGCATTGAAAGACTCTAAAACATGTACGGGGCATTTTTTGCAGTCGTATTTTTTTTTCTACACGCGAAATGTAGCTGTAATGGGTGTCAAATAGCGATGGTACAGTACAAAGTAGAGTACAATGACGGATTTAGAAAATATTACTCGGATCAAATATACACCGAGAGTTCTGCTGGTGTAGTCATGGTTACCGACGTATACTTACCCAAACTTTGCTGCGAATTATTTCAGTTTTCCGGTGATGTCTATAAACTTTATATTATTAACTCCAACGTGAAAGAATTAGAAGATTCGTGTTATGAAACCGTATTCCAAGGTATAACTATATTAAAGATCAATCGGAATGAAATAAAATTAATCAAAAAAGCCACTTTCAAAAATCTAAGCGTGGTAGCTATAGATTTGAGTTCAAATATGATACACATAGTGGAAATCGGTGCTTTCAGTGACCTACTCCTCTTGAGCGACCTCAATTTATCCAACAATCAGATAGTAATATTAAATCCACAATCAATGATAAACATGCCAGGACTAAACCGAATAGATCTTAGCTGCAACAAGATCAAGACTCTTCAAAGAAAGTCCTTTGATAATTTGAGGGCAGACTTTGCTTTTATTAATTTACAGAACAATCTCATCTCTTACGTGCACCCTCAAGTATTTGAAGATATGTTGTCGGAACAAGTGTCTATTTATTTGGATCACAATTTGATCGAAAATGTGGATAATATTTTTGACAACCACTCTTTTTTGGAAATTTGGCTGAATAACAACCCAATCAAGCATTTTTCGGATGTTTGTAAACAAGAATGTAACACATGGAGTATAATTTTGACGTGTACTAAACTAAATGAGACAGAAACTGAATCTGCGGTTAAATGGGCTTTTCGTAAAAATCTTACGTTGTTTGTTGATGACTGTGAACCAAATTCTGATACGTGCAACAGGGCGTACTCTAAGGAAGGAAGTAGTTTCAGTGTTCTCATTGCTGCTTTAGTGCTCATAAACGTGGTTTAATTTTGGCGAATTTTAACACTTCGAATTTACTGTTTCTCCTTTTATTAATAAAAAGTATTATTCTAGCATTTACTTTCCAGAATACTTATTTCTCTTTTTGTTAAAACACAAAAAAACTCACAAGAAAACTCACCAGTTCTGAACAAATTTATTTATTAATAGTAGTATTAATTTATTATTACAAATTAACTTAATCTACATCAGATAAATCAATAAAATAAAATAAATATTCGAGTGTTATATAATAAATGTTCTATTCTTTCTGCTTGCCCACCCCTTGCCATAGTTCCCTTATCTTCCATACTTCTTTCATCCAGTCCAGTCCTCTTCCATCCTCGTTTAGCACTTCTTTCCTATTTTCCTCCGATTCTCTCAATCCTTCACATTCTTCCAGCATATGCTCTATTGTTTCTCTCTCTCCAACATATCCTCCACCTTCTGTCAGTTTCATCCATCCAAAAATTACTTTATATCTCTTCATTTCCACACCTAAATCTCGCCATCATTCTTTTCTCTTTTATATTCTCTCTGTGTGTACTTTGATACTTCATCCTTCACTATTTTTCAATTGTCTGCATTATATCTAGACTCCGATATTTTCGATCTGCGTTCTTGTGTATCTATATCCTTATCTCTTACACTCAGTTCTTCTTTCATACCCCTTCCCATTTCTCTCATTCTCTCTATGTCTTCACATGCATATCCCTTTCCCTCATAATACTTGTCTCTTTCGTTCGAAACATGTTTTCCCCCTTCCTTTCTTATTTTTTTCCAACATTCTTGCAATATTTTACAATCACCTCTCTCACTAAACTTCTCTTCAAATCCAACCGCCCTTTTACCCGCTTCCACTCTCATTTTCTCCCTTTTTGTTTCTTCTCTCACTATATACCCCGGCGTATACTTTTCCAATGCCAATGTCCATTTGAAGTATTTTTCTTGCACTCTCTCTATTTCTTCATATTCCCTCCATCCCCCAAATCTCAGCTCCGTACATAAATACACTTTTGATCAAACTATCAAACATCATTATTCTTCTCTTATAATCCTGTCCAAATTTTCTCTCCTATTCCCCATACTATTCCTATCACTTTGTTCGCTTTTCGGACCATTTCTTGAATATGCGCTGCTTCCATCTCTTTTCATAACCTCTCAACTAGTATCATTGCGCATATCTTGTACGCCGTATTGAGCAAGGTAATCCCTCGGTAGTTCTTCACATCACTTTTTTGTCCCTTTTTAAATAATGGGATTATTATACCTTCTCTCCACTGCCGAGGAAACCCTTTTCCCTTCCAAACTCCATCCACCGCTTCCCATATCCTTTCTTTCACTCCTTCTGTCCCGAACATCCACGCTTCGTTCTGGATTCCATCCCCTCCTGGTGCCTTTCCTCTTTTCAGTCTTTCAATCTGTCTTCCTATTTCATCTTTTGTTATTTCCGAACCTCACAACCTCCCAACCTCCCAATAATTCCAAAAAGTGTGTTTTCCATTCATGTATTTTGATTTTCCTGCTGACTTCAGTCTTCCTTCTCCGTTCCTTTGTCTGTTTTCAGAGACTTTATTGTCTTCTCTTCTTCTTCTCGTTTTTCTCTTTTTCTTTCTTTGCATTTTCTCCTATAATTCTCTCTTGCTTTTAGGTACTCTTCTTTCCTTCCCTTGTTATTCTTCCATTTTCTTAATTTTTCCCTTGCTTTTCTCTTCAACGCACTACATTCTCCGTTCCATCCATTATTCCTCCCTTGCCATATGTATATCTTTCTTTTTTTCGTAGCTTCTACAATTAGGTTGCTCAGTTCCGCTATCATAGCTTCTATATCTTCTTTTACCTTACTTCGATTTTTTTTTCCTAGTCTACTTCTGTATCTTTGAATTCCCTCTTAATCCCATATTCTTTTTTTCTAATTCTTTTCTTTCGTTTCTTCTCTCTCGTTTTTCGTACTCTTGCTCTTTTCCTTTGATTTTTATTTCTAGTGGCATGTGGTCTGATTCTGCCCTTTCCCCCACTTTGAAACTCTCTATTTCTTCCCACGCCTCTTCGTTGACAATCCCATAGTCTATAATTGATTCTCCCCTTGCCCCTACGTACATCCATTCTTTTTCTTCATCTCCTTCCTTGTTTCCATTCAAAATTTCCCATCCCATTTCTTCTATTATCTCCCACAATATTTTCCCTTCTTTATTGTTTGCTTTATCTTTTGATCCTCTTTTCTCTCCCTTTTCTTTATCTATTATTATTGTCCACTTATCGCCTAATATTGCGTTAAAATCTCCTTCTATAAGTACTTTTTCATCTCCTTTGTCTTTATTTCATTTTCTATGTTTATCTTGGTTTTCTCCATTTTCTTTTTTACTTTCTTCATTAGTCCGTTTTTACTATTACTTCCCTTTTCCAACTCTTGCATTTCTTTTCGAATTCCCATTACTATTCCCCCGCTTGCTCTCCCCTTTTTCTTTTCCTTTGTCGCCCCTTGACGCTCCCACACATATTCTTGTGGTAGTGTCTCTTCCACTTTCTCCCAGTTTTCTCTTTGTACCCAAGTCTCTACTAGCCCCACAGATCAAATTTTCCCACGTAGTCCCAGAACTCCTTTTTCTTTTTTCACAACCCTTAGACATTCCAAAACCGTACCTTCACCACTTTTTCTCCTAATTTTGTAGCAGCTTCCTTTTTTCCGATTTCCCTATCTGCATCCTTTATTCCTTTTCCTTTTCCATTGCCTTGTTTCCTTCCATTTTTCCTCGTTTTCTTCCTTCTCTTTTGGCTCTTTACTAAAAATTTTCTGCCTTCTTAAGTCTGCCCTCTTCTTTTATCTTGTTTTGAATTTTTCTTTCCGTTTTCGTCAGATCATCATTTATGTAAATCGACAACCCTTTTAAGTTCTTCTTGCTTTTCGTTACATTTATTTTTTCTTCTCTGTTTTCGAATTCCACTACATAAACTTTCTCTGCAATTTTGTACGCGCTTTTAACTTTACTCTCTACTTTGACTTTCTCTTCTAAAAATTTTGTCGCGTTTCCAGTTATCTGCTTCTGCTCTCCTGTTTCTATTTCCAATCCCATCATCACTACTTTACTTCTTCTATTTTCTCTCTCCATTCGATCTAGTTGACTTTCTACTTCACCCACTCTTTTTCCCATTTCTTCCTTGGCTCTCTTCCATTCTTCATAGATTTTCAATTTTTCAATAGCTCGATTTTTTTCACTTTTCTTTTTCTTAATTTTTCGATTTTTCAGTTTTACGATGTTTCAATTTTTAAATTTTGAAAATTTCTCGATTAATCAATTTTTCGACTTTTCGATTTTTCGACTTCTCTATTTTTGAATTTTTCGATGTTTCAGTTCGATATTTCATATTTGAGATTTTTCAATATTCAATTCTTCATTTTTTTTATTTTTCGATATCTCCCTTTTTTTTAATTTGTCAAGTTTTCTCCATTTTTCAGTTTTTCGATTCTTCAATTTTGCGGTTTTCAATTTTTCAGTTTCTCGATTTTCAATTTTTTGGTATTTCAGTATTGAGTTTTTTCAATTTTTCGATTCTCCAAATTTTCCATTTCTCAATGTTTTCAGTTTGACGATTTATGAATTTTTCGATTTTTCTATTTCTCAATTTCTCGATTAATCGATCGTTTTATTTTTTTTCTTGATATCTCGATTTTTCATGTTTTCAATTCGTTAATTTTGGATTTTTCAGGTTTTTCATTTTTCAGTTTCTCTGCTTTTCAAGTTTTGGTTTCTCGGTTATCGATGTTTCAGTTTTGGGATCTTTTTTTTTTTGTTTTTCGATTTCTCAATTTCTCGGTTGATCAATTTTTTTGATTTTTCGACTTTCCGATTTCTGGATTTTTCAATTCTTCAATCTTGATTTCGATTTTTTAGTTCCACATTTCATTTTTGGGATTTTTCAATATAATTCTTCAGTTTTTCGATTTTTCGAAGTCTCGCTTTTGTTCAATTTTTCAAGTTCTCAGTTTTTAGATTTTTAATGTTTCGATTTTGTGATGTTTCGATGTCTCAATTTTTCGGTTCTTTAAATTTTCGATTTTTCAACTTTTAGAGAAAAAATGGAAAAATTGTATTGAAAAATCAAAAATTAATAAAATATAAAAACTATAAAAGTACAAAATGAAAACTCTAAAATTTAGAAATCAAAAACTTGAAAAATTGAAGAAACGAAAAATTGAAAAATCGAAACTTTGAAAATTAAAGAAATCAGAAAAGCGGTTAATTGGAAATCAAAGCTTGAAAATTTCAGTGTTGAAATTTTTGGGATTTGTCAATATTTAATTCTTCAATTTTTCGATTTTGCGATAACTCGCTTTTTCTCAATTTTTCAAGTTTTAAGGAAAAAAATGGAAAAATTGAAAAATCGAACATTTTAAAATCAAAGAAATCAAAAAATCGGATAATTGGGAATCCAAAAATCGCGAAATTGAATAAACGAAAAATTATAAAATCGAAAGAGTGATTGAAAAAACAAAGAAAATGAAAAAACGAAAAATTGTGATATAAAATCGGGAAAATGAAAAATAAAAATTCAGAATCTGAAAAATCGAAAAATGAAAAATTATAACATCGAAAAATTGCAAATCGAAAAACTGAATAAATGGAAAATTGAAAATGGAGTATGTTTTATTACGATTTACGATAAAAATGGAAAATTCTGATTTGTCAATTTTTATATACTTCAGTTTTCGGACCTTTTCTTCTCCAATTTTCCGATTTTTCAATTTTTCAATTCCTCGATTTTCGATATTTCCAGTGTTGAAATTGTTCAATTTCTCGATTTTTTCATTCTTCGATTCTACAGTTTTCCAATGTTTCTGCTTTACGGTTTTTAAAGTTTTTGATTTTTTTTAGTTTCTAAATTTTAGATTTTTTGATTTTTAAATTTCTCGATTTTTGCTTTTTCAACTTTTCGATTTCTTGTTTTTTCAGTTTACTCGATTTTTTCATTTTCCAATTTCTCAATTTTCCAATGTTTCAGTTTTACGGTTTTTAAAGCTTTTGATTTTTTTTCAGTTTTTACCGTTTCTAAATTTTAGATTTCTTGATTTTCAAATTTCTCGATTAATTGATTTTATGGTTTTTCAAGTTTTAGATTTCTCGATTCTTCAGTTTTTCGGTTTTCATTTTTTCAGTTTCTCGATTTTCAATTTTTCAATTTCTCGATTTTTTCACCTTTCTATTTCTCAATTTTCCGATTTTTTAGTTTTACGATGTTTCAAATTTTGATGATAATAAATTTTTAATTTTTCGATTTCTCAATATCGAATTAATCACTTTTTTGGTTTTTCGACTTTTCGATTTCTCCATTTTTCAATTTTTCGACGAATTTTTCGTTTTTTCGATATTTCGTTTTTTCCAATTTTTCAAGTTTTCGGTTTTTAGATTTTTCAATTTTTTGATTCTTTAATTTTCCGATTTTTCAACTTAAAAAAAAAAAGAAAAATTGCAAAACTGTAAAATTGAAAAACAAAAATAAAATACGAAAAAGTATAAAATGAAAACTTTAAAAAATCTAAAAATTGGAAATCAAGAACTTGAAAAAATGAAGAAACGAAAAATTGAAAACTCTAATACATATTTGAAAATTGGAAAATAGAGGAACTGAAAAATCAAAGCTGGAAAATGAAAAATAAAAATCAAGAGGAAATGAAAAATGGAAAAATTAAAAATTGAGGAACTGAAAAATCGAAAAATAAAAATTGTAATATCCAAAAATTGCAATCGGAAAACTGAATAAATTGAAAATGGAGTATGTTTTATTACGATTTCTAAAATTACGCCACATACATTTAAAACTAGAAAATTCTGTGGATTAAAAAAAAAAATTCTAAAGCAATTTAACGATTTGTAAATTTTCCAATATTTCGGCTTTTCGATTTCTCAATTTTTCGATGGACTTTTCAGTTTTTTCTTTTCCAATTGTTCGATTTGTCAATTTCTCGATTCTTCAAATTTTTGACTTCTCGATTTTTTCATTTTTCGATTTCTCAATTTTCCAATCTTTCAGTTTTACGACTTTTAAAGTTTTCGATTTTTCAGTTTTTGATGTTTCTGAATTTTAGAGTTCTTGATTTGTCAATTTCTCGATTTTTAAATTTTCGGTTTTTCAATTTTTCGATATTTCATTTTTGGGATTTTTCCGTTTTTTATTCTTCAATTTTTCAATTTCTTGATTTTTTCACTTTTCTATTTCTCCGTTTTCCGATTTTTCATGTTTCAATTTCTAAATTTTTAAAACTTTTATGTTACTAAATTTTCAATTTTTCGATTTCCCGATTTCTCGATTAATCAATTGTTCAATTTTTCTATTTTTTAAATGTTCCATTTCGACTTCGATTTTTCCGTTTCTCCATTTTTCGATGTTTCAGTTCAATATTTCATTTTTGGAATTTCTTAATATTCAATTCTTTAATTTTTCAATTTTATCTACGACTGGTTTTTTTCGATTATTCAAGTTTTAAGGGAAAAATGGAAAAATTGAAAAATCGAACTTGTTAAAATTAAAGAAATCAAAAAATCGGTTAATTGGGAATCCAAAAATTGCAAAATTGAATAAACGAAAAATTATAAAATCGAAGGAGTCGTTAAAAAGATAAAAGAAAATGAAAACACGAAAAATTGTGATATAAAATCGGGAAAATGAAAAATAAAAATTCAGAAACTGAAAAATCGAAAAATGAAAAATCATAAAATCGAAAAATTGCAAATCGAAAAACTGAATAAATGGAAAATTGAAAATGAAGTATGTTTTATTACGATTTACGATAAAAATGGAAAATTCTGATTTGTAAATTTTTCGATACTTCAGTTTTCGGACTTTTTCTTCTCCAATTTTTCGATTTTTCAATTTTTCAATTCCTCCATATTTCCAGATTTGAAATTTTTCAATTTCTCGATTTTTTCATTTTTCGATTTCACAGTTTTCCAATGTTTCTGCTTTACGGTTTTAAAGTTTTTGATATTTTTTAGTTTCTAAATTTTAGATTTTTTTCATTTTTCAATTTCTCCATTAATTAATTTTTGGTTTTTCAACTTTTCGATTTCTCGTTTTTTCAGTTTTTCGATTTGTCAATTTCTCGATTAATCAATATTTTTGTTTTTTGACTTTTCGATTTCTCAATTTTTTCAATTTCTCAATTTTCCAATGTTTCAGTTTTATGATTTTTAAAGTTTTTGATTTTTCAGTTGTTAACGTTTCTAAATTTTAGATTTTTTGATTCTTCAGTTTTCCGATTTTCGATTTTTCAGTTTCTCGAGTTTCAATTTTTCAATTTCTCGATTTTTTCACCTTTCTATTTCTCAATTTTTCGATTTTTTAGTTTTACGATGTTTCAAATTTTGATGATGCAAAGTTTTTTATTTTTCGATTTCTCAATATCTCGATTAATCAATTTTTTGGTTTTTCGATTTCTCGATTTTTCAGTTCTTCAATTCTAGAATTTTTCTATTTTTTTATATCTTCGACTTTTCGATTTCTCCATTTTTCAATTTTTCGATGATTCAGTTCGATTTTTGGGCTTTTTCAATATTTCATACTTCGCTTTTTCGTTTTTTGATATTTCGTTTTTTCCAATTTTTCAATTTTTTGATTTTTATTTTTCATTTTTCCGACGTTCTGATTTTCATTTTCTCGATTTTATATAACAATTTTTCGTTTTCTCATTTTCTTTTTTGAATTTTTAATTTTTCGATTTTTCAACTTTAATAAAAATAAAAAGGAAAAATGCAAAACTGTGAAATTGAAAAAAAAAATAAAAAGCGAAAAAGTATAAAATGAAAACTTTGAAAAATCTAAAAATTGGAAATCAAGAACTTTAAAAAATGAAAAACTGAAAAATCGAAAAGTTAAAAATTTTAATATCGAGAAATTGCAAACTGAAAACTGCATAAATGGAAAATTCTGTGGATTTTTGGAAAAAAAAATCAAAATCGTAGATAGGACAATTTTACGATTTGTAAATTTTTCGATTTTTCGGCTTTTCGATTTCTCAATTTTCTTAATTTTCTGTTTCACGATGTTTAATCTTTAGATTTCTCGATTTTTCATTCCTTCGATTCTTGAATTTTTGTTTTTTTGGATTTCTCCGTTTTTAATTTTTCGTTTTTTCGATATTTCGTTTTTCCAATTTTTCAAGTTTTCGGATTTTAGATTTTTCAATTTTTTGATTTTTTAATTTTTCGATTTTTCGACTTTTAAAAAAAAGGAGAAATTACAAAACTGTGAAATTAAAAAACAAAAATAAAAAAAGAAAAAGTATAAAATGAAAACTTCGAAAAATCTAAAAATTGGAAATCAAGAACTTGAAAAAATGAAGTAACGAAAAATTTAAAAATCTAATATTTGAAAATTGGAAAATAGAGGAACTGAAAAATCAAAGCTTGAAAATTTGAAAAACTGAATAAACAAGAAGTTATAAAATCGAAAGAGTCATTGAAAAAATAAAGATGGAAAAAAATCAATTGTAGATAGAACAATTTTACGATTTGTAAATTCTTCGATTTCCCGATTTTTCATATCTTCGATTCTTGAATTTTTCGATTTTTCAACTTAAAAAAAAAGGAAAAATTCAAAACTGTAAAACTGAAAAATCAAAAATAAAAAACGAAGGAGTATAAAATGAAAACTTTGAAAAATCTGAAAACTGGACAAATAAAAAAACTGTAATATCGAAAAATTGCAAATCAGAAAACTGAGTAAATGGAAAATTGAAAAATTTGGAGCTCGAGAAATTAAAAAACTGCAAATCGAAAAAATTAAAGCCGAAAAAACGAAAAATTACCAAACCGGAACACTAAAGAATGGAAAAATAGAAAAAATAAATAAAATGAAAAAACGAAAAATTGTTTTTTGGTCGTAGGTTAAGATTTGATTTTGCGAATTTTATTTTTTAATGTTAACCTTTATAAGTTAATTTTAATTAGCGATTTACCGCACCTCACAGTAACCGCGTTAAACTTAAAAATAAACGTGGGCAATGTTTAATATTTGGCGAATTTTAATCCATGGAAGCTTTTATTATACCTAGTTGTTTAGGACGCACAATTTTATCAACACTTCTAATTTATGGTATCTCTTTCTTATTAATAAAAAGTATTATCCTAGCATTTACATTTCCAGAATACTTATTTATCTTTTTGTTAAAACACAAAAAAACTCACAAGAAACTCACACACCAGTTTTGAACAAATTTATTTATTAATAAAATAGACAATAAAGTAGATAACACAACAAGCATCCAAGTAGTAGAAAAATGCAACCAAACAATAATTTCAGCAACATTTGCCTCCGTTTACCCTGAGGCACTGTTTCCAAAGGGTCGTGGACTAGATGCACCCTTCCATATATTGCACAATTTTCCACATACCTTTCCCAGTCCAGCAGTTCCGTATTAAACGGAAACAGCTGTCTATCTTTTTCGTTCAAAGCTTTCCACAAAATGTCAGTGTTGGTTGTTTCGAAAATCCACCAGTTCAAAGTAAAGAACTCGACCGCCTCACAAACTGCATGAAATTTCTGATACATTTTGGCAAATCTACGAAAAATTGTTTTTTTTTTTTTTTCTTTTGATTTTTACAAGTCGGGACTTACTTTCGTTGCTTGCCTAAACATAACATAATCAAATCCACTGCATACGCTGGTACTAAGTGAAGCCAGAACTGGTAAAATTTTAGGACGTACTTCTTCTTGGTTGTTATAAGGAAATAGGGACTTACTGCGTATACACTAGCGTATAATCTTGACAATGATTTTCCAAAGGCACGAAGGTTGGCTTTAGAAGAAATTTAGTATGGTGACCTTTCTAATACATCTACTTACCGCTAGTTATGACGTTGTTCCCAGAACCGACTAAGTTGTAGATTGTTGGGTTGGTACTTTTAGTGGAGGTGTACCATGCCGAGGATAAAATGTTATTGACTGCGTAATCCAGTGGTACCATCGCCACAACGTTGTCATGTACCATTTGACAATGTATTATACCCAACAATGTACCTATGAAAAAAGCAGTGTTTCCTTGTATTACATCGATCCATCCTGGTTCGGGTTCTTGGCAAGTTCCCATCACTGAAAGTACCTTTGTAACGATTTTAACGAGACTAAACTTTAGTTATAATTAAAATTGTTTCACTTACAAACACCCGGTCTGACAATGGCTATGGGCATGTTTTGACCTTCGTCTTTGATCACATTTTCGGCGATAGCTTTAGTGAATGTGTAGGTGTTGGGCCAAGAATTAAGTAGTCTAGAAAAATTAATACAAGACGATGGTACTTTGAGCAAGTAAGTACTTACTCAGAAGTGACACTCTTTAATGTTTCGTCATCCAAAGTTCCTATTAGTTGCATAAGTTCTTGGGCCTTCATAGGTGGTTTATAGAATTTTTCTGATATAAAATATTTCTGATTGGAGTTTGAATAAGCAGTGGAAACGTATACCACAACCTGGAAAAAATTGGTCGCCCCTGAATTATAATTTTTTTGCGATTTTGTATGTAACTCGTCGACTTTTCATTGTTAATTTTTTAATTTTTAAAACTTTTTCATCTATTCTAAAATTTTAAAATAGGAAAATCCAGTAACTAGAAAATCCAAACTAGAAAGTTTGGAAAACTGAATAAACGAAAAACTATAAAATCAAACGAATCATTGAAAAAAATAAAGAAAATGAAAAACGAAAAATCAAAAAATCTTTTCACAACAAAAAACTTAGAACATCATTAAAATGGTACATTTTTGCAGGGAAATATGGATTTTACAATTATGGGGCGGAGCCTAATAGTAAAATCGATATTACCTTCTACAAATTTTCCATTTTAAATATGTTTTAAGTTTCATGTTGTGAAAAGAAGTCTACACATATTAAAACAAAAAGACAAAATTTAAGCCCGCCCACCCACCCTATCACATTTGGGATGAATTTTTTATTCGCCGTGAACCAAGAGGGCGGAGCTTAACTGCAAAATACTTTTTTCTTTACAAGAAATAAAAGACATGTTTTTGAGTATCGTGTTGTTCAAAAAATACTATCTACATTAAGAAAAAAAGGCAAAATATTAACCCCGCCCACCCACCCCGTCTTGATTGTGATGATTTTTTTTATTCTTAGACACTTGAAACACGTTTAAAATGGTAAATTTTGGTAGGGAAATATGGATCTTGCAATTAAGTTCCGCCCTCTTGACTTAATGACGAATAAAAATATCGTCACAATTGAGATAGGGCGGGTGGGTGGGGCTTATATTTTACGCTTTTTCTTATTATACGTAGCCGTCTTTTTATAACAAGAAACTTAAAACATGCCTAAAATGGTAAATTTCTATAAGGAAATATCGATTTTGCAATTACGCTCCGCCCCTCGATCTGACAACGAATGAAAAATTCATCACGCTCGAGACGGATGGGTGGGGCTTCTATTTTGGTTTTCATTTTTAATTATGTAATACATGTAGTTTTCTTTGTATAACACGATTACTTAAGAACACATTTCAGATGGTAATTTCACGTAGAAAAATAAAGATTTTATAATTAAGCTCCGCCCCTCGACTCACGACGAATAAAAAAAATCATTAGAATTGAGATAGGGTGGGTGGGTGGGGCTTATGTTTTGCCCTTTTTTTCTTAATAAACATAGCCATCTTTCACAACAAAAAACTTAGAACATGATTAAAAAAATGAAAAAATTGCAAAACTGAAAAATCTAAATCCAGGAACTGAAGCAATGAAAAATTGAAAAATCGAACTTTTTAAAACAAAAAATTATAAAATCGAAAGAGTCATTGAAAAAAATAAAGAAAATGAAAAAACAAAATGAGACATAAAAATTCAGAAACTGAAAAATCGAGAAATGAAAAATTATAAAATCGAAAAATTGCAAATCGAACAACTGAATAAATGGAAAATTGAAAATAGAGTATGTTTTATTACGATTTATGATGAAAATGGAAAATTCTGATTTGTCAATTTTTCTTTCGATACTTCAGTTTTCGGACTTTTTCTTCTCAAATTTTACGGTTTTTAAAGTTTTTCATTTTTTTAGTTTCTGAATTTTAGATTTTTTCATTTTTCAGTTTATCGATTCTTCAATTTTTCGATTTTCAATTTTTCAGTTTTTCGCTTTTCAATTTTTCGATTTCTCAATTTCTCGATTAATCAATTTTTTGGTTTTTTGACTTTTCAGTTCCTCAGTTCTTGAATTTTTCCATTTTTTAAATCTTCAATTTCTCGATTTTTTTCATTTTCCAATTTCTTGATTAATTGATTTTATGGTTTTTCAACTTTTAGATTTCTCGATTCTTCAGTTTTCCATTTTCGATTTTTCAGTTTCTCGATTTTCAATTTTTCAATTTCTCGATTTTTTTCACTTTTCTATTTCTCAATTTTCCGATTTTTTAGTTTTACGATGTTTCAATTTTTAAATTTTGAAAATTTCTCGATTAATCAATTTTTAGTTTTTCGACTTTTCGATTTCTCCACTTCGATTTTTCGATTTCTCCATTTTTCAATTTTTCGATATTTGAGATTTTTCAATATTTAATTCTTCAATTTTTTTATTTTTCGATATCTCCCTTTTTTTACTTTGTCAAGTTTTCGGTTTGCACATTTTTCAATTTTTCGCTTTTATGATATTTGGATGTCTCCATTTTTCAGTTTTTCGATTTTCAATTTTTCAGTTTCTCGGTTTTCAATTTTTTGGTATTTCAGTGTTGGGTTTTTCAATTTTTCGATTCTCCAAATTTTCCAATTCTCGATTTTTTCAGTTTGACGATTTACGAATTTTTCGATTTTTCTATTTCTCAATTTGTCGTTTTATTTTTCTTCTTGATGTCTCGATTTTTCATGTTTTCAATTCGTCAATTTTGGATTTTTCAGGTTTTTGATTTTTCAATTTTTCTGCTTTTCAAGTTTCGGTTTCTCGGTTATTCGATGTTTCAGTTTTGGGATTTTTCTGTTTTTTTTTTTGTTTTTCAGTTTTTCGATTTTTCAAATGTTGATGTTACTAAATTTTCAATTTTTCGATTTCTGGATTTTTCAGTTCGATATTTCATTTTTGGTATTTTTCGATATAATTCTTCAGTTTTTAGATTTTTTAATGTTTCGATTTTGTGATGTATTGAAAAATCAAAAATTAATAACATAAAAAACATTAAAGTATAAAATGAAAACTATAAAAATTTGAAATCAAAAACTTGAAAAATTGAAGAAACGAAATATTGAAAAATGAATACTTTGAAAATTAAAGAAAACAGAAAACCGGTTAATTGGAAATCAAAGCTTGAAAATTTGAAAAGCTGAATAAAGAAAAATTATAAAATCGAAAGAATCATTGAAAAATAAAGAAAATGAAAAAACGAAAAATTAAAAATTGAGAAACTGAAAAACCGAAAAATGAAAAATTGTAATATCGAAAAATTGCAAAACGAGAAACTAAGTAAATGGAAAATTGAAAATGGAGTATGTTTTATTACGATTTCTAAAATTACGTCACGTACATTTTAAAATGGAAAATTCGGTGGATTTTTGGAAAAAGAGATCAAAATTGTAGATGAACAACTTTACGTTTTGTAAATTTTTCGATTTTTCGGCATTTCAATTTCTCGATTAATTAATTTTTTGGTTTTTTGACTTTTCGATTTCTCGATTTTTTCATTTTCCAATTTCCCAATTTTCCAATGTATCAGTTTTACGATTTTTAAAATTTTTGATTCTTTTCAGTTGTTAACGTTTCTAAATTTTAGATTTTTTGATTTTTCAATTTCTCGATTAATTGATTTTATGGTTTTTCAACTTTTAGATTTCCCGATTCTTCAGTTTTTCGATTTTCAATTTTCCAGTTTCTCGATTTTTTCACTTTTCTATTTCTCAATTTTCCGATTTCTTAGTTTTACGATGTTTCAAATTTTAATGATAGGTACTAAATTTTTAATTTTTCGATTTCACCGTTTTTCAATTTTTCGATGATTCAGTTCGATATTACATTTTTGGGCTTTTTCAATATCTAACTCTTCAATTTTTCGTTTTTTCGATATTTGGATTTTTCCAATCTTTCAAGTTTTCGGTTTTTAGAATTTTCAATTTTTTGATTTTTTAATTTTTCGATTTTTCAACTTAAAACAAAGGAAAAAACTGCAAAACTAAAATTAAAAAACGAAAAAGAATAAAATGAAAACTTTGAAAAATCTAAAAATCGGAAATCAAGAACTTGAAAAAATGAAGAAACGAAAAATTGAAAAATCTAATATTTGAAAATTGGAAAATAGAGGAACTGAAAAATCAAAGCTTGAAAATGAAAAATAAAGAGGAAATGAAAAATTAAAAAATGGAAAAATTAAAAATTGAGAAACTGAAAAATCGAAAAATTAAAAATTGTAATATCGAGAAATTGCAAACCGAAAAACTGCATAAATGGCAAATTGAAAATGGAGTGTTATATTACGATTTCTAAAATTACGTCCCGTACATTTAAAAATGGAAAATTCTGTGAATTTTTGGAAAAAAATCAAAATTAGATAGAACAATTTTACGATTTGTAAATTCTTCGAGTTTTCGGCTTTTCGATTTCTCAATTTTCTTAATTTTCAGTTTCACGATATTTAATTTTTCGATTAATCAGTTTTTTGGTTTTTCGACTTTTCGATTTCCCGATTTTTCATTTCTTTGATTCTTGAATTTTTCGATTTTTCGATTTCTCCGTTTTTAATTTTATCGTTTTCTCCAATTTTTCAAGTTTTCGGATTTTAGATTTTTCAATTTTTTGATTTTTTACTTTTTCGATTTTTCAACTTTAAAAAAAAGGAAAAATTGCAAAACTGTAAAATCAAAAAACAAAAGTAAAAAACGAAAAAGTATAAAATGAAAATTTTGAAAAATCTAAAAATTGGAAATCAAGAACTTAATAAAATGAAGAAACGAAAAATTGAAAAATCTAATATTGGAAAATAGAGGAACTGAAAAATCAAAGCTTGAAAATGAAAAATAAAAATCAAGAGGAAATGAAAAGTTGAAAAATGGAAAAATTAAAAATTGTAATATCGAAAAATTGCAAACCGAAAAACTGCATAAATGAAAAATTGAAAATGGGGTGTTTTATTACAATTTCTAAAATTACGTCACGTACATTTGAAAATGGAAAATTCTGTGGATTTTTGGAAAAAAATAAAATTGTAAATAAAACAATTTTACGGTTTGTAAATTTTTAGATTTTTCGGCTTTTCGATTTTTCAATTTTCTGAATTTTCAGTTTTACGATGTTGAATTTTTCGATTTCCCAATTTCTTGTTTAATCAATTTTTTGGTTTTTCGACTTTTCAATTTCCCGATTTATCATTTCTTCGATTCTGGAATTTTTCGATTTCTCCGTTTTTAATTTTTCGTTTTTTCCAATTTTGCAAGTTTTCGGATTTTAGATTTTTCAATTTTTTGATTTTTTAATTTTTCAATTTTTCGACTTTAAAGAAAAGGAAAAATTGCAAAACTGTAAAATTAAAAAACAAAAATAAAAATTGAAAAATCTAATATTCGAAAATTGGAAAATAGAGGAACTGAAAAATCAAAGCTTGAAAATTTGAAAAACTGAAAAAACAAAAAATTATAAAATCGAAAGAGTCATTGAAAAAATAAAGAAAATGAGAAAACGAAAAATTGTTATATAAAGTCGAGAAAATGAAAATCAGAACGTCGGAAAAATGGAAAATAAAAATCAAGAACTTGAAAAATTGAGGAAATGAAAAATTGCAAAATGGGAAAATTAAAAATTGAAAAACTGAAAAATCGAAAAATTGAAAATTGTAATATCGATAAATTGCAAACCTGAAAACTGCATAAATGGAAAATTGAAATTGGAGTGTTTTATTACGATTTCTAAAATTACGTCAGGTACATTTGAAAATGGAAAATTCTGTGGATTTTTGGAAAAAAATCAAAATTATAGATAGAGCAATTTTTCGATTTTTCGGCTTTTCGATTTCTCAATTTTCTGAATTTTCAGTTTCACGATGTTTAATTTTTCGATTTCCCAATTTCCTGTTTTGATCTATTTTTTAGTTTTTAGACTTTTCGATTTGTTGATTTCTCCGTTTTTAATTTTTCTTTTTTTCCAATTTTTCAAATTTTCGGTTTTTAGATTTTTCAATTTTTTGATTTTTTAATTTTCGACTTTTTAATTTTTCGATTTTTCAAATTAAAAAAAAATGCAAAACTGGAAAAATGAAAAACAAAAATAAAAAACGAAAAAGTATAAAATGAAAACTTTGAAAAATCTAAAAATTGGAAATCAAGAACTTGAAAAAATGAAGAAACGAAAAATTGAAAAACCTAATATTTGAAAATTGAAAAAAATACTGAAAAATCAAACCTTGAAAATTTGAAAAACTGAATAAACAAAAAATTATAAAATCGAAAGCGTCATTGAAAAAAATAAAGAAAATGAGAAAACGAAAAATTGTTATATAAAATCAAGAATTTGAAAAATTGAGGAAATGAAAAATTGAAAAATGGGAAAATTAAAAATTGAGAAACCGAAAAATCTAAAAATTAAAAATTGTAATATCGAGAAATTGCAAATCGAAAAACTGCATAAATGGAAAATTGAAAATGGAGTGTTTTATTACGATTTCTAAAATTACGTCACGTACATTTGAAAATGGAAAATTCTGTGGATTTTTGGAAAAAAATCAAAATTGTATATAGAACAATTTTACGATTTCTAAATTTTTCGACTTTTCGGCTTTTCGATTTCTCAATTTTCTGAATTTTCAGTTTCACAATGTTTAATTTTTCGATTTTCCAATTTCTTGTTTAATCAATTTTTTGGTTTTTTGACTTTTCGATTTCTCCGTTTTTAATTTTTCGTTTTCTGGATATTTGGTTTTTTACAATTTTTCAAGTTTTCGGATTTTAGATTTTTCAATTTTTTAATTTTTCGATTTTTCGACTTTAAAAAAAGGAAAAATTGCAAAACTGTAACATTAAAAAACAAAAATAAAAAACGAAAAAGTATAAAATGAAAACTTTGAAAAATTTAAAAATTGGAAATCAAGAACTTGATAAAATGAAGAAACGAAAAATTAAGAATCTAATATTTGAAAATTGGAAAATAGAGGAACTGAAAAATCAAAGCTTGAAAGTTTGAAAAACTAAATATCCGAAAAATTATAAAATCGAAGGAGTCATTGAAAAAATAAAGAAAATGAGAAAACAAAAAATTGTTATATAAAATCGAGAAAATGAAAATCAGAACGTCGAAAAAATGAAAAATAGAAATCAAGAACTTGAAAAATTGAGGAAATGAAAAATTGCAAAATGGGAAAATTAAAAATCGAGAAACTGAAAAATCGAAAAATTAAAAATTGTAATATCGAGAAATTGCAAACCGAAAAACTGCGTAAATGGAAAATTGAAAATGGAGTGTTTTATTACGATTTCCAAAAATCACGTCACGTACAATTGAAAATGGAAAATTCTGTTTAATCAATTTTTTGCTTTTTCGACTTTTCGATTTCCCGATTTTTCATTTCTTAGATTCTTGAATTTTTCGATTTTTCAACTTAAAAAAAAGGAAAAATGCAAAACTGCAAAATTGAAAAATCAAAAATAAAAAACGAAAAAAGACGAAAAATTGTTTGATTTTGCGAATTTTATTTTTTAATGTGAACCTTTATAAGTTAATTTTAATTAGCGATTTATCGTCTATGATCTGTCTAATAAAAATTCGGACAGACGACAGACGGACGGACACTCAGACGGAAACGGAGGACTATTTTTCCGTCCTCTACGCTCACGAAATAAAAATTACAATATACTCTGTGGAAAAAATTACCCACCCTTAAATTAACCATTTCCTTGGCCAACCCAACAAGATCCTGCACGGCCCGAATATTAACATATGCAGCAGTGCGTAAGTGTTCATCAAACCTCACAGTAGCCGCGCTGTGTATAACACACGTCGTTTCCTGAACCAACAAATTCCTGTCATCCTGTGACAACCCAAACCCAGGTAAGCCACAATCTCCTTTCATAATAAAAACTTTCTCTATAAACCTTGACTTCTCCGATTCCAAATTTCCAAAACACTTCAAAAAAAAAAACAAAAAATTTGAAAAACTAGATTCAAAATTAAACCTTACAATGCTTTCCAACAGTTGTTCAACTCTTTCCTCTACAGATCGACCTTTCTTTTCTCTTAATAAAAGAAAAATTTTCTTCACGTCGCATGTAGCCAATAATTTTCGAAAAACGAGCTTCCCTAACAGACCTGTACTTCCCGTAATGAACACAGTTTGGTTTTTGAAAAATTCTTGTACTTCACTGACAGACATGTCGTCGTTTTAACTAGGATACAGCTTGTTTCACCTACTTTCCACAATCGTTGAAATTTATTGTATTTATTTAAAAAAAATTGCTGACGCATAATTACATGTAAAAATACTTCGATGTCCATGAAAGCTGAAACGGTTTTCTTGTAATTTGAAACTTATAATTTTGACCAATTTAAGTCGTGTGATTGAATCAACGACATGCTTTTTCCATTGATGACTCGTCAATTTTATTTTATCTTCAGATACCGACTTCGACCTCCTCGTGCCGCAGTTCCCGGCCAACAAGCGCGCCATCACCATGTTCTCCCGCTGGAGCCCCATCAGCAGCTTCGGCAAGGGCAAGACCCCAACCCGAAGTAACATGCTGCCCCACCAGATAAAAGACCGACATCCTGGCCAGCCACTGAGATGGGGTTAATGCGACGCACCGATGACTTTCCTTTCCATTACGAAACGCATCCGACGGGGTTGAGTCCCAAAGAGCCCGAAAATCTACAAAGGCCTACGCAGTACCTCAAGCCCAGTATTGCCCACTAACGGCCCTACTGAACCCCGACTCGTAGCGTTTCGTATTGGTCGAAAGTTGTCCCTTATACTACAAGACTGCGGTGATTACTTTTAGTTCCGAAGCCCTTATTTATGTTTGTAAAGTTCCGATAAGTATGTAATGCATGTGTTTTTGGGTTACTGTGTCACACCTATGTAAAGTTCACGTATTGTATGTTACGATTTTTCTTTCGTGTTGCTATGTATTGTTATGTCAGAAAAATAGAGAATTTAAAAGAAATGTCCTGCATCGATCTTGGGACTTGTTTCTCTTCCCTGCTACACGTGGTAGAAGATCAAAAGTGAAAACTTTAGACAGGTCCGCGGTCAGCTTAAAATAAACTTCCGAGTAGGAGGATTGGCTAACTTCGCTGAGCAAATATTATCTCTGTTATTGAGAGGATTTAAATTTGGGAAAAAGCAAAAGGCGGGAATGTGTTGGTCGTGGTTATTTTCTGGGGTTTGCCGCCCCCGAAGAGCTAAACGATATTGCTTTCAGGGCGTTGCGTTCACTTTACCTCGTAAAACGGATTTTGCCCAATTTGTACTGTTATTTCAATATTTGATGTTGGCTTTATGCGTTTCTTTGGATAACAAAGGAATCGGGGGAGATATTTTGGCCCGGGTGTGTATTTTCTTGAAGCGTTAAATTTTCAAACAACACACAAAAGACCAAAGGTTTAAGTTTGTTTTATAACTGGAACGGTGGTGCTGGATTTGAACAGGAAGTCAGCTGAGTGCAGAAGTCTGCGTAAGTTAAAAAGTGAAAATGAGAATTAATAGAAAACGGTAAGTACGTTACAGGTTACACAACGAATCGAAGACTAAAAGTAATAACGAGTTTAGTTTTTAAATCAATTTTATTTTTTGATACAATACTAATATAAAAAAATAAATGAAGTCTGGTCAGGATCAATTTTGAAAGATTTTTTAAAAAAGTCAGTTTGATTTTTAGTGGATAAAGTATGTTTTATTACGATTTCGCCATGTTGCAAATGTTTAAAGTTATCGTAAGCAGGATAAATCGTTAACGAAAACGTCATCCTAAAATTTTGCCGAAAAAATCCTATCTGAAGTAAGCAAAATGTTTGTCATCTTGCAGTTTTGTCGAATACTTAAATGCTATTTGAATGTTAAAAATTAACATAATCCTGGACTTGTGGTTTATGAATGAGTGTTGAATTTTTCGCCTAGACATCGAGATTTTCGAAAAAAAAAGTCAAAATTGTAGATGTAAGAATTTTTCGAATTTTGGCTATTATCAGTTTTTTAATTTTTCGATTCTTCAATATTTCGGTACGTATTTCAAGATTTTGATTTTTCTGTTTCGAGATTTTTCAACTTTCCATTTCCCAATTTTTCGATTTTCAGTCTTTTGTCCGTCAATTTCTCGACTTTCAATATTTTAGTGTTTCGGTTTTCAGTTTTTTGATATCTCAATGTTGGAATTTTTCAATTTTTCGATTCCTTAATTTCTCAATTGTTCAACATTTTTATTTCTAGATTTTTTTCATTTTAAATTTCTCATGTTTCAGTTTTACGATTTTTCAATTTTCGAGTTTCTCGATTTTCATTTTTTTCAGTTTTGGGATTTTTTTATGTAATTCTTCGATTTTTCAATATCTCGCTTTTTTTGTTTCTTCGCTTTTTAGATTTTTCAATTTTTCGGTTTTGGGATAGGCCGATTTCTCAATTATTCGACTTCTTGGTTTTATTTTTCAATTTTTCGGCTTATCGATTTCTTTTTTAATTTGAAATTATTAAATTTTTAACTTTTCGAATTTGGGCTATTTCGGTTTTTCTATTTCTCGATGTTTTGGTGTTTAGTTTCTCAATGTTTCAGTGTTTTGATTTTTCAATTTTTCTTTTAACAATTTTTCGATTCTCCTATTTTTCGATTTGTCGAAATTTAAAACTTTACCTTTTTCGATTTTAAGATTTTTCGACTTCTCGACTACGATTTCCCGATCTTTTGATGGTTCGTTTCTCGATTTTTCATTTTCTCAATTTTTCGATTTTTCGGGTTTCCGATTTTTCAATTTTTGGATTTCCCGATTTTTCATCATTTCAGTTTTGGAATTTTTCAATTTCTCGATTTTTTAATTTTGGATTTTTCAAGTTTTACGATTTTTAGATTTTTTAATTTTTTTCTTGATTTTTCAAACCTTCGATTTCTGAATTGTTCTTCATTCATATTTCAATTTTTCGATGTTTCGATTTCCCGATTTTTTGATTTTTCGAATTCCCGATTTTGAGCTATTCCAATTCCTCATTTTTTTTTTTGATTTTTTGACTTCTCGACTTTTCGATCTTTTGATGCTTCGTTTCCCAATGTTTCAGTTTTCCGATGTTCCGGTTATTCAATTTTTGATTTCCCAATTTTTTAAATTTTCGATTTTTCGACTTCGTTTCAATTTTTCGATTCTTCAATTTTTCATCGATGTTTCAATTTCTTCATATTTCAGTTTTGGGATTTTTTCAATATTGAATTCTCAAATGTTTTGATTTCTCAAATTTCCGGTTTTTAGATTTTTCAATTTTTCGATTTTTTTAAAGTTTCGACTTCTGAATTTTTCGATATTATAATTTTTCAATTTTTAAAGTTTCATATTTTTCGATTTCCCGATTTTTCAGTTCTTCCATATCTCTATTTTTCAATTTTTCGAATTTTTAAATTTTCGATTTTTCCACTTCTCGAATTTTCGATTTCCCGATCTTTTTTTGGATGTTCCGATTTCTCGATTTTTCGATAATTTTATATTTTTCAATTTTTCGGTTTATCGATTTTTTTTAATAATGAATTTGTTGATTTTGGGCTATTTCGATTTTTCGACTTTCCGATTTCTCGATCTTTTAATGTTTAGTTTCTCGATATTTCAGTTTTTTTATTTTACGACTTTTCTGCTATCCAATTTTTCGATTTACCAATGTTTTGAATTTTTAAATTTTGAGTTTTCCAGTTTTTCGATTTTTTAATTTTACATTTTTCGATTTTATGATTTTTCAACTTTACGATGTCCCTGCTATTTAAATGTTAAAAAATAACATAGTTCTGGACTTGTGGTTCATGAATCAGTGTTGAATTTAGACATCGAGAGACATCGAGATTTTCGGAAAAAAAAGTCAAAATTGTAGTTGTTTCGACTTTTCGATTACTCGACTTTTCATATTTCGATTTCTCCATTTTCCGATATTTCAGTTTCTCGATTTTTCAACTATCCATTTCCCAATTTTTCGATTTTCAGTCTTTTATCCGTCAATTTCTCGACTTTAAATTTTTTAGTGTTTGATTTTCAATTTTTTGATATCCCAATGTTGGAATTTTTCAATTTTTCGATTCTTCAATTTCTCATGCTTCAGTTTTACGATTTTTCATTTTTAAATTCTTCATTTTTGAATTTTACAGGTTTTTGATTTTTCAATTTCTGGATTTTTCAACTTTCGTTTTCTCAATTTATCACTGTTTCAGTGTTAGGATTTTTCAGTTTTATTTTATTGTGCATTTCGTCGATTTTTCAGTTTTTGACGTTTCCAAATTTTCGATTTTTTGGTTTTTCGAGTTTCCGATTTCTCGATTTTTCAGTTCTTCAATTTTTCGAGTTTTTGATTTTTCGATTTTTTAAATTTTCAAATTTTTGATTACTCGATTAATCGATCTTTTGGTTTTTCAACTTTTCGATTTCCCCATTTTTCAGTTTAAATTCAATTTTTGATTTTCAATGTTTGAGTTTTTCGATTTTCAATTTTTTGATATTTCAGTGTTGGGATTTTTCAGTTTTTTATTCTTCATTTCTTCGATTTTTCATTCTCGATTTTCAAATATTGGATTTCTCAATCTTTTCACTTTTCTATTTCTCAATTTTCCGATGTTTCGATTTTATCATAATTTAATTTTTCGATTTTTCAGTTTTTGACGTTTCTAAATTTTCGATTCCTCGATTTTTCAGTTCTTCAATTCAATTTTTCGATTTTTCAAGTTTTTGATTTTCGATTTTTCAATCTCTCGATTAGTCGATCTTCTGGTTTTTCAACTTTTCGATTTTTTAGTTTTTCAATTAAATTTTTTTATTTTCAATTTTTGAGTTTCTCAATTTTCAATTTTTTTTATTTAATTCTTCGAAAATTCTATATCTCGCTTTTTTTTAGGTTCCTTGATTTTTCAATATTTCGCTTTTTTGATGTTTCCATTTCCCAATTTTCTGATCTTGGGCAATTTTGACTCCTTGATTTTTCAATTTTATGACTTCTCGACTTTTCGAATTTCTCGTTTTTTTCAGTTTTTCGATTTGTTAATTTTTAGATTTTTTAAATTTTGAATTTTCCGATTTTTCGGCTTTTTGATTTTTCAATTTTTCGAATTTTTAAATTTTACATTTATCGATTTTTAAAATTTTTGATTTTATAATTTTTCGACTTGTCGACTACGATTTCTCGATTTTTTTATGGTTCGTTTCTCGATTTTTCAGTTTCTTAATTTTTCGGTTTTTCGACTTTTCGGCTTTTCGATTTTCCAATTTTTCGATTTTTCAATTTTTCAGTTTTTCGATTTCTATGGTTTTTCAAATTTTACAATTTTTTGAATTGATTTCTTGACAACTTGGTTTTTCAAATTTTCTATTTTTCAATTATTCTTCGTATCAATTTTGGGAATTTTCCAATTTTTCGATTTTTTGATGTTTCGATTTCCCGATTTTTTTATTTTTCGAATTCTCGATTTTTAATTTTTCGATTTTTAACTTTTTAATTTTTCGATTTTGAACTATTTCGATTCCTCAATTTTTCGATTTTTTGACTTCTCGACTTTTCAATCTTTCGATGCTTCTTGGCTCGATGTTTCAATCTTGATTTCTCAATTTTCCGATTTTTCGACTTTCTGGCTTTTCGGTTTTTCAATTTTTCGATGTTCCAATTTTTCAATTTTTTCGATTTACTAATTTTTCGTCATTTCAGTTTCAGAATTTTTCAATTTCCCGTTTTCTCAGGTTTTCAATTTGTCAATCTTCGGATGTTTCGATTTTTTGGCTTTTTGATTTTTCAGTTTTTCGATTTTATAACTTTTCGTCGTTTCGACTACGATTTCTCGATCTTTTGATGGTTCGTTTCTTGATTTTTCGATTTTCCGATTGTTCAATTTTTGATTTCCCGATTTTTGTCATTTCCGTTATGGATTTTTTCAATTTTCCAATGTTTCAATTTTTCGATTACTTAAATTTTGAATTTTTCGATTTCTAGGGCTTTTAA